TCAACTCATCTGTCTCTTAGATAGATTGATGGATAGTTTTTTAATTGTCGAAAAATTACTATCCATAGATTGTACGTTTTATGAACAACTTCAACTCTCTGACACAACATGGTACTTTTCGGCTGTACATTCATACCTTTTATCCAACTTTAAATTAAAACAGAACGTGTACATTTTGCATGTCAGCGTTAGATTTCTTTTTATTACGTACCTTTTCTAAATATTTTCGACAATATTTTCCCTTTTGCAGTATTTCTAGGTGTGACCAAATTCGTGATTTCTCTATTTGATAATATTACTTCTTTTTCGTTTCATATTAACTTTCAGAATTTCCTTAAAAGAGATTATATCTAAATAATAGCCAATGTACACCAAACTTATCTTTAAGGTAGAAGCTTCTTTGAATGTCAATGTTTCTTAAACGAACTTCCTAATGTCAGCATTGTATCCCGAAAATCAAATTATATTCACTTATCTCTAACCTTGGATTTATGTTATATACGTAGATCGTAAGTTTTCAATGACTTTTACAAGTTTTCGTACTTCTAGTTATTCTTTTAGTATCTTAATTTCCAAGACTGTAGTTCCAAGGACCTCCTTATTAGGCTGTTTCATGCCAGTTACACCTGAATTTCACCTTTCTTCACTTTTTGCCCTTTGTTTCTTCTAATTCCGATCTTCAGAGCCGTCGCTCTGCAAAGGGTTGATATTCTTTACTAAATTTTGCTTTATCGCTTCTGATGTATAACTTTGTTTTTTGCACCGATCAACAAATTGTTACTTGTTCCTCTCTTTTCTTCGTTAAGTATCCCAGTTTTGATATTGGTCTTCCCCTGCTTTTAATTGGGAGAAAATAAGATGGCCCTGACATATATTTTTGTGATAAAACATCATTTAACACTTTTCCTACAGTATCTGATATTGATTCTTTCATCACACCATGTACATGGTATTTGCGCAGCAGTACCATGGAACTTACGAAATAACCCTCTAATCTTATCACCTTGCTGTCCTATTTACTTTTTAAGATGTATTCTTATGTACAGTTTCAAGTTCATGACACTTTGACCACTTATTTCTCTGCCTGCGTCGCCATGGATGACAATATTGTACTTACATCTTACTGTTGCTATCATCTTTCTCTCGTATTCTAGGATACGCACACAATTAAGTGTTTAAAAATCGGTCAAAAGGAAAAAACGTTCTTCATTAAAACTTGTTTCTTTCATTTTTGATCAAAATGTAAATATTTATTTTCAGATTGCTTCAATTATAGCAAAAATACGAAACATAAATGTCTGCAAAAGAAGAAGTCCTCCACCTCCGACTTTGCATTAATTTATGACAGTGTCCTCTCAATTAGGGCTTAATATATGCTCCAGAAAAGAAACAGGACTAAATACATTTACCAATCTATTAAAATCTGCTTGCAGTCTTTCCTTAATCCGACACAAATATAAATTAACACGAAAATTTACTATTACCATACAATTTCAACAAAACAGACATAGTGTCTGCAGCCATAGTCTAATGAATCCGGAAGTCGATCAACCTTGTAAAAGCTGTTTAATTCTGTAATCATTTTTAAAGAATCTGCATGCAAAATTTAAATAAAGTGCACTGCCTGTTTTATTTTATTTACTTATACAGTAAGACCCAGCTTAACGCGGGGGATACGTTCCAACAAAGTAGAGCCTAATGCGAAACAGCTTCCAGTGAAATGCTTTTTCTGGTTGCTTTTGTTTCTTGTTTTTCATTATCATCCAAGATAAAAACTGAATATCATAATATTTGTCACCGTATTAATCGTTATAGTATTATATAAATTTATACTTACAATAATGTCAACAAATGTTTCAAATGATAAAAATGCGTCCGTACAGCACCACACCAAACAAGAAACACAACTACACTGTTTCGGATATGTTATTTGGAAACCTAGCGCTGCGTACAATTTCGGGGATCCCCGGGTTGAAATAAGAGAGCGCTAAACCGAAACAGCGCTAAACGAAACAGCGTTAAGCTGGGGTCTTACTGTATTTCATTACATAATGTTTGTTATGCTTACTTATATTTTATTAAGTTTTATTTACTTATATTTTTTTCCGTGATAAGCGCTTCTGTGTGACAAAATATTTTCTTTATACACCTGTAGAGTCATCAGTGTTTTTGAAACAGGAGACGTGAAAAATGTACAGAGCCGTAGCCGGGACTCGAACCTCTTACTTCTCGAATACACGTCGAGTATGCTTCCAAATACACTACGGAGGCAAGCGGAAAGGAGGGAAAAAATACCTTATATGCTTCCCATTTTAAAGGGCGACTGGGAGATTAAGGAATCCAATCGCTAAATCATGGTGGTGACAAATTATCTTCCGCCACATTTTAGTTCGGGCGCCACTTGTAGGGTCATAAGGATTTTTGAAGCAGGAGATGTGAAAAATGTGCAGTGCCTTTGCTAAGACTCGAACCTGGACCCGTCAAATGCGCACCGAGTGTGCTACCGTGACACCACGAAGGCATGCTGGAAAGAGAGAGAAAATAGCTTATAGGCTGTAAACATTTTAGAACCCTTTGTTTAATTCATCTAACTAAACGCTGTGAGCTTTTGCTTTCCTACATTGTTACTGAAGGTCATGGCATATACATTTTAGAAAATATAGCAACTTGTAACTTTAGAACCCCTAAATTTCTGCATGGTCCTATTGCAGGCTAATTTAAAGCAAAGTTCCCGCAACATATGACACTTTTTTCCATTTTTAAAGTGATCCAAAATTTTTATTATTTATTCTAATAAAATTAAATGGCATTTAAAGGAAACTTAAGTCTCTCTTAAGTCTCCTTAAGTTTTAAGGACACTTTTTTCATTAAATCTTGTATGTGCATACAAATGTGCACACAAAATGCACTAAAATTTATCAGAGCTTTTAAAAAAATAATAAAAAATAAATGAGATATTGCAGAAGTAGTCAGTTTGCACTAAAATGCATATGTTGAATCCAGGTGTCGTTTTAATAACAATGAAAGAAAAAAAAATCTAACTTATTAATTTATTGATAGACAGCGTGTGGAGTCATTAGGTTTATTTCGGAAGCGGGAGAGGTGAAAAATATGCAACGCCTTCGCCGGGAATCGAACCACCGACCTCTCAATTACGCGCTGAGCGTGCAGACCACTACACCACAAAGGCGGGAGAAATAGTTTATATACTTCTCCTTTTAAAGGGCGACTGGGGTTTTTGGGGGAACCAATCTCCAAATCCTGGGTGAGGAGAGTCATCATCCAGCATCCTTTTAGTTCAGAAGCCACTGTAGAGTCATTAGGTTTATTTCGGAACCAGGAGAGATGAAAAATATGCAACGCCTTCGCCGGGAATCGAACTGCGGACCTCTCAATTACAAGCTGAGCGTGCAGACCACTAGACTACGAAGGCTCGCTAAGAAGGCGGGAGAAATACCTTATAAGCGCTACGCCGTCTTTCAAAATTTTGGATGAAATTTAACAACAGAAACCTTAATTTATTGCTGTGCAAGTGTTTCATTGTCAGTCTTTTCCATTCCCAAGTGTTCCAAGTGTCCCCACCACAGGGAAAAAAATTCGCCCATAGAGGTGGCAGTGGTAAATTGATTGTCGTTGGGAAAATTACGTGCAAACCGTGCGGGAGCACAGGTGGAGACTTCCGCAGCACAATCAACTAACAGCTCCAGTAGTACTCTGAAAACTGCAAGAATCACCATGAATCTATAAAGTTCATCTATGTTGCAGATTTTGAAGTGATATATTGCAATTGTAGCTCTCATTTGTAGCAACAACTGCAACCTCTTAATACGTATTATTATATAAGCAGGAATATACCCACAAAGGCACTGAAAAATGTTGCTGATGATCCACAGTGGATGAACATCCTTTGGACACAAGAAGCCCATTTTTTTTTTCATCGCAAGGAAATGCTAATACATTTAATTATCGAAAACATTCCACCATGCATACACACAGGAGCCGCTACACTCATCATGAAATAGTATATGGATGACCATCGTGAGGCATGTGCAACAAACTGCTGGAAAATGTCCTCCATAGGAAGAAAATGTTACACGAAAACGAGGTATCATACTTGAAAGAACAAAATCGCAAGGGGGTGACTTGCGTCCCGCGTGAAACCGTAGCTCGAGCGGCTGGCTAATTGCTCAGGCCCTATTCCTGGCCTCCTCTATCGCCGCACTTGAAGACGGGGAATTTTGAATCCTGGAATTTGCACCCAGATTAATTCCAGGATGTACATCGCATGATCATTTCGCAGCTAAAAGAGGCTATCCGTCGCTTCCATAGACACAGATAAATTCAGCTAATCGGTGAATGGTGAAATAAAATGCTTTTATTAAATGATTTCCTGTGATATGATAGCTTACTTGATAGCTGTGTACTTGATAATCGAAGCAGTTTCACGGCATTTAAAAAGCTTGCTTTAATTCACGAAGCTTTCTTTCGTTAACTGTTATCAGAAGAGAAGGATGACAGTATTGCGAATGGCATTCTTCTATGATAGTTCATTCCTTTTTCATGTGTTTCTTAATCGTCTAGTAATTTTTGGTGCACGCTTTGTGAGACTACAATTTAAATAAAAGATCCAAGCATTCCTCTAAAGGAAGGAATTCGTTGATTCATGTCTCAAAAATATCTCAAGAACATGTATAATGTATGAAGAAAAACATACATCAAAAGAGTGTTTTCTTTTTTTTAAAGTAAAGTGATGGAGAACACAAAATTACAGTTAATAAGTTAAACAAGGTTAACCCGAAACCATACTAAATAAATAGCATGTTACAAGAGAAAATGATTACACACTCGATTAAATTCATTTCAATGATGTAATTATATATCTGCTTAGATTTGTGCTTATTTGTAGTGTGTAAGTAATGAGTTCCTTTCACATTATTAATTCACTCGTTAAATTGAAAAGTATTGTATTCATGCTTAGATGGCTCTTATTTTCTTTCAAGGGGATACCTGTCACCAGCATCTGGATTCCAGAGTGTTCAATTTAGATTAATCGAAAATATGCTGGGAGTTAGAAATGTAGGTAACAAAATTTTAACCATTTGAGTTATCTTATAGATATAAATCTTTATTTTATAAAGTTAGTGAAAGTTGTGGTGTAAAAGATTAATTGTTATCAGATGTACACTTTTGCATACAAAAGTACACATTTGTGTATGTGCATGCATAAATAAATAAACACTATTTTTAATTAATTTCCGAAAAGTCAGAAGAAAAGTAAGGAAACAGTTTTAATTAACTTACTAGAATGAAATGCATTCTGATGTTATTTCTTTAATAATATCACATTAACGTTTTTGGTGTTAAATCATGTAAATATCTCCTTATGTTCAACAAAATATACAACAAGGCTTACATAAGTAAGATATAGTAACATATTTCAAGCTTCCTAATTTACATTAATTTATTTATTTTTATATTTGGAACCATATACCTATATCCACCGTTCAAGAGATACATATGGAATTCACTTATAAGAAGAGTCATTCACTTCTGGATAGGTTTACATAATTGCGCAAAAGTATATTTAATGGCTTAGCTAGAGTTTTTTTATTCTATGGATTTAATTTATTTTTCAGGAGCACAGAGTGAATTTCAGCAAGGATAAGTACATCACTGTTTTTACAGATGAAGAGGCGATTAATACAGTCTTACAATCGGAGCAAGAATTATCGCTGTGTGATTTGGTTCAGGTGAGCTGAGAGGAGAAAAGAAACCTGCTTCTCTTTCGTTTTCCTTTTTTTAAATTAAAACTTCGTAAATATGTATTAGGCTTAAGACAAAAAAGAGCCTTAAGAGAAATTTTTCATGCAGAAAGTTTTTGCATTCAGCTTTTCTCGATATATTTTCAAAGGAGGGAGAGTCTCCACAAATTTAATAAATGTTACCCAAGCAATAAACTAAATTCTCGTATTATAAGTTTTTTATAACGCTTGTATTGTAAGTCGGTATATTTATGCTCTCTTTTAAAATAAGGGTGCAAAACGAATAGACAGAAAATTTTAAATTGCTTGTATGCTGGATGTTACAGAACGTTACAATTCTGTCTGGGCACTAATTATTATTCCTAAAGTTTGTTATCTAAGTTCATGATGGAAGACATGGTTGAAAATATTTAAAAGATTTCACTTTATGACATTATCAATTTGTACATATTACTGTGTTCAGTTTCAAGAAAATCTAATCGCCAATTGAAAAAGCTATTGGATGATTTTACAAAACAAAACCTGATAGGATAATTAAATGACATAGATCAGGGTTTCTTAAACTTTTTTTCAGTCGCGACCCCTTTTTATTACTGAGATTTTTTTGCGACCCCCAGGACCCCATAATATTTAAAAAAATTTTGTGGGACCCCCATGAGTATTGCGCAACGCCGACACGCGCGTGAGGGGAACTGTCAATTTTTTACTTGTACTCTAATATACTATTGTAGTTTTAGGTCATTAACTTTAATTTCTAATTTTAAGACATAGAACAATGTGAAAATTTTAAAGAAGTAACAGACGAAATGACAGCGTTACGTGCAAAGCAAGGAAAATGAGCGTTTATATTATAAAAAGAATGCGTCCAAACGTTTTCGTTTTTTTCTTTGCCTGTATTGTCTTATCTTTTATCTATTTTCAGATACATTGTGTAAAAATATTTGATAATTGTAAAATTATTATAATAAGTTAAAAAAATATCAAAACTGCTAAAATTTTTGACGACCCCCTGTTGCAGGTCCCGCGACCCGCAGTTAATGCTGATTCCATGGAAAGATCCCGATTCATCAAATGGAACTGGAATCTCTCCATACAACCATCAACAGTTTAAAAAAAAAGCGCGTTTCGCCATCTCGCATACCCGAAAACGTTAAAATGTAAAATTAAAGGTTAATGTTAAATGTTAAATTTCATCTCATTGTTTCGGACACACGAGATAATTCCCCGATGCGCGGACAGAGTATTGGAAACAATAAAATTCAAAAATAAACAAAGCGGTATAATACTTAAAAGTACAATACTTTTAAAGCAACAGTACTTAAAACTAAAAATAAGAAATTGGGGGGAAAAATAGAAAAACATGGAAATAAAAAGCAAATGTAAAGAAAGAAAGAAACTAATTGGTCATAAAAACGGTTAAAAACATTTACAAAAAAAAAAAAAAAAAAAAAAAAGGCCAAAGTTAATGTTAAACTCTACTTACATTTTACTCCAACGAAAGGAAGCTCAAAATGACGCCAGTTGAGAAATAAGCATGAGACACCTCAATGTTGCCAAGCGTAAAGCAGGGAAGAGTCCATTTTATTGTTAATTGCTGCACTTTGGCTATATGTATATATATATTTCTGTTCGGTTTGGGTATACTTGCATTTTGATTAATCTTAACTCTAAGGAGTAAAAATTTATTTCCAGTGACAGGACATTCAAATTAACAAGACTTCTAACGAATTGTACTTAAGAATAAATAGTATTTTGGGCAATTTCCGACATGTTTATGATTTATAATTTTGCTTGATATTTCGTAAGAAATCTCCCTTTTACTAAAATTACCGTCTCATAATTAGTGAATTCTACGATATAGAACGTTTTGTATTCGCCAATAAATGCTTTACTTGCGTAATAATGATAATGTAACATTATCTAGCTGTTAAAGGTACAGTTATGTGGCAGGGTCTATTTAAAATGCAAATCTGAAAACATATTTTCAAAACATTTTTACAAAAACGAGAGTAAAAAAAGAGAAGAAAAAGCTAATGTAGCACATTTCGTCAACTTAAATATAGTATTAGCGGGCTGCGATCAAAGTAAAATTTATAAGTTCTATATTCACCTGAAACGAAAATGCATAAGAACATTTCAATATGAATGAAATCAGTTCATTCTTTCTAAGCGCCAACCCATTTGTAAATAATTTTTCGTTGCCAAATCAGGAAACAAAAACTTCCGAAACTTCAGATTAATATGGATGACGTCATAATTTATGGAATGTAAAACCTTTTTTTTTTTTTTTTTTTTTCCAGTATCAATAAAAGAATTAACGTGGCAATAGTATGTCGTATCAATAATCCCAAGCTGAAACAAAAAAGTTGCCAATAGCTTTTGTTTATTTAAAATGTTTACATTAGCAAAACATTTCGATCTACAATGAAGTCACATGCAATCGCGTATTTTATTAACCGTCAGAAAATGAACAAGAATATGTTTAATGTTTGGCAGTGCTATTTTTATTTCATATTTTTAAAATTTGCCTATTTATGGGAAGCGAGGGGTGGCAACACTTTTCGAAAAAAATCATTTTTATCTCCAGCGCCCGAGACTGATGCAACTTGGAAAAATGAGTGCAAAAATTAGCGTTTTAAGAATTTTCAATTAATATCTCGGTTGATGAAAGTCGTACGATAAAAATGCTCGAAATGGCTTTCCACGAATTTTTGTACCTCTCTCGTACCTTAATTTTAGTTGGTCTAACTACAGTTTTGATTTTGCTTCCTGAACAATTATCCTTAAACTTTTTCAACTGGTGAAAAGTATTTCCTTTGAAGGTTTCGAAATTATAATTTTCTAACTTTTATAAGTATCGAAATGATGGTATAACGATTACTGCTTTTTTCCGCAGAATTTGTTTTTTCCTGCTGTCTCTGTCTCCGCCTATAGATTTTACCTATAAGTACTCTTTGTTTACTCCTTCATAAGAAATTTTTGTTCATGACCTCCATCATGGTGAATAATGTATGACTTTGGTGTATCAGAAAAGAAATGTGAAGAATATAATTTCAGAGTCACTTGAAAAAAATATCAATTTAGCGTGAAAAGTTAAAAGTAATTTTCCCAAATTTTGCTTGTGGGAAAAATTCTTTACAAAATTCTAATATTTTTTGTACTTTAATTTAAAATTTATGTTCATAAAAATATTTCCTATATTTTTGCTTTAGAAATGGTTGGAAAGAACTCCGGGCTTAGAACCAAAGGGTTTTAACTTCTGGAAGAAATTTGAAGACGCAATTAATTCCCAGCTAGAGTCTCTAAAATTGCAAATGGATGTAAGTATTAATCCATGATTAACTTAACATAATTAAATTTTAAGGAAAACCTGATTAACTTTTAAGAAATACCGGATGTGAAACCAAATCTGTGAAATCTCAATTAATCTGTGAAACCAAATCTGTGAAATCTCAATTAACTTGTAAGTTATCATTTGCTTTTACCAAATCAATACCCTGTTTTAGAATTCTTCGATAATGTACCAATGTACTGAAACCAGATATAGAATCTTAAAACCAGACATAGAATGAAGTGTTTTCTAAAGGATACTACGAATGTGCTCAACATTAAATATTACACTGAATTCAAAATAATCGCGAAAAACAGCAAAATATAGGGCGTTTTGCTTGAATTTACTTAACTTTAGAACATAATAAAAATTAAATGGTTCAAAATATTATAAAACTGTAAGTTTTATCTAAAAGGAAAATATTTCAGCATCTGTGTATATGTCGCACAACGCTAGGGTAGTATGTCAGCAACATAACATCTTTAGTCACATTTAAAAGATTTGACATGATATGACTGATGATGGAAAGTGCTCTAACCTCGGTTGTGTAAACATTATATTTTGCGAAACTCCAAAGCAAGCATTTAAAAAAAAAAAAAAAAAAAAAAAAAAAAAAAAAGAGAGAGATCAAGTTATTTTTATGGCCTCGAAATAGCATTTAATGTAACTTAAGTCGCCGTTTTTTAACAATAAACGAATACTTAAATCAAAATTTCCAAAGAGAAATTAAATGACATCCTTATTATGTATGTAATGTCTGTGTGATCAATTCAGCCGTAGAAAATTAAGTAAAAGTAAAATTTTAGACTGCCGTAAATTTTGTATAAAATTTTATTGATTTCAAGGAGAACTGACATACGAAATGCTAAAACCCTTCTTTAAAAGTACTGTGGGCCCACTCGTTAACAGTCTTTTGGCAGATCTTCATTGCTGGCGAATAGTCAATCACGCGAGTTCTGCTTCATCGTACTGAATATGCGTACTGAATGCATAGACGATGCAAAATTTACTGACACATGAATATATTAATATGTCTGTAGGTCAGTGAGCTTCTGGGACTGTTACTGACAGGGCCAGATTACCAATTAGGCACAGTAGGCACGTGCCTAGGGCCTACGAAGGTCAAAGGGCCTACGAAGGCCAAAGGTCTTAGGGCTTTGAAAAAAAATATATTGAAATAAAAATACCCCAAAAACTTATAAACATTTTTATATTATTATATAGTGAAGGTCAAAATAATATATGTAAATACAAATACACAAAAAAATACGAATACAAAACGTTTGGTTTACTAAGTAGATCCTAAAAATAACTCCTTTTTTCGGGATTTTGACACAGCGAATTCGTGTATTATATCTTCAAAATTAATGCCGCGAGCGACATTACTTTCAATACACAGAAGGCCCAGTGACGAAGTTCTCTCTTGACCCATAGTTGAACGCATAAAATTTTTTATAAGCTTCAACTTGGAGAATGATCTTTCTCCTTCTGCATTCGAACCCAATATCGAAAGGTATATGCGCAATGCAATATTAACATTTGGGAAACTTGACACAAGTTTATCCTTTATTTTGTAATTTGATGAGATCCGTTATAGAGGTGGTTTTGGGGTACAAATTTGAAAAAATCAAATACTCATCAACAAAGTTTTCTTCTAAGTCAGACGGATACATTTTTACCAGAGCTTGAGCCTTAACCTTGATAATGTCCTCGGTCAGTGTATTATCCGTAAGAAAACTAAATGTGTCATAAAGGCTGGTATACGCAGTGCGTCTCTTTGTCATTTCAGCGCAAAGCACATCCAGAACAATAAAAAAAAAAATTAATCTTAAGGAATCTTTGGCACTGCGAGAGGGAGTCTCATCTGGCCCTTCATCGAACTGTCGTTTTCTCTTTACGAACTCTAGTTTCGGATTCTTTAAATTCTGAATCTGGTGCAAGGGCTTTTGCCTTAAGATAATAGCTATTATACATGTCCTCAGTTCTGCAGTGAGATAAATATTGAATTAAACTGTCGTAAAGTCGCACCATCGTGTTAAACTCGATGCCAGGTTCTTGAAGAGATTTATTTACAATATCGACGTGTTTTAGTAGATCTTCCCAAATAACTGTGAGTAATAACATCTCCAAAGTATTCATTTGATGGATTAAGGTTTGTGCCTCAATTACTGTTGTAGGTTTCATACCTTCACTAGTTGAAATATTTGTAAGAATACCACGTATATCATCATAATGGGCACATAATGTTTTTACAGCCTCATAACGTGCTGACCATCTGGTCTCTGAAAGTCTTTTTACAGAAATTTTACTTCCCAAAGACCTTAGTTTAGACCATCTTTGAGGGGACGCTGCAAAGAAATTGTAGAGCGATTGCAAAATTTCAAAAAATTTTACAGCTTCTAAGCAGCTTTCTGCCGCCGCTGTGCCAACTAGATTAAGACTATGAGCTCCACATGGTACTCAAGTGGCTGCGCTGTTGATTTCCCTAAATCTAGTTTGTACTCCCGAATACACTCCGCTCATATTAGCCGCATTGTCATAAGACTGACATCTGCAAAATTTTGGGTCTATTCCCTGATTTTCTAAAACTGAAATTAGAGTGTCAAAAAAGATACTTGGCATCATGTTTTTCTATTTTAACAAACATCAAAAATCTTTCATATATATCTCCAGTTTTTGAGACATATCTAATAACTATGGAGAGTTGATCCGTATGGCTAACGTCAGTATGGTGTAGAATCCGTATGGTGTAGAATCCACAGTGATTCCATAATACTTGGCTTCTTTGATTTCTGTAACTATTTTTTCCAATACTTTTGACCCCAGTAAAATTATTAGTTCTTCATACGTTGTGGAGGATAAATATGATACTTTTCCGCGGCTTGGATTACCGTATCTTCTTACATGTTCTTCTAGAAACGGATCAAATTTGGCTAAGAGATTGATACACCCAAGAAAATTGCCATTACTAGGATCACCATGTATTTCATTATCGCCTCTAAACGCTAGTCCCCTTTCGGCCAAAAACTTAATTACTTCCACTACTCTTCTTAAAACCGTTGTCCAATATGTGCTTTCTTTTTCCTTGACAATATCAAACGTCTCATCATTTTTTCTAGTTTGTTGGTAGTTCACTAAAGCAGAAATAGATGCAAAATGTTCTTTTGACACTTCATGACTTGAAATTCTCGAATGTGCGTTTTTCCAGTCATTAAAGCCTGTAAGGAATTGGTTACACAGGTTTGGATTTCCAGGTAGGTCCGATTTGAACAAAATACATTTATAACAAAAAAACTTGCCAGTAGATTCGGAAAATATCAACCAGTCCCTTTTTATAATATCATTGTTGTTCAGTTTTCTGAAAAAATAATCTTGTGATGGACATCTCATTATTTCGCCAAATTTAGTGGCGTATAACTTAAAATTTATATCCAATTTCTGCACAGGGTGATTACGAGAGAAGTAATCGATAAGATCTGCGCTTATGGTTGTCCACCGTGCTGGATCAGAACTGAAAATACTTGAGGCTGATGTTGTTGGTAGTGATTCAGGCACCACCTGCTTGGAAGCGTCGTTAAAATTTCGTAAACCCCCGTCAGCCTCGTCTTCTGTGACATTCTCAGTTTTATTGGTTGAACATTCTTGCGAGTCCCAACAAGCCTCAGCTTCTTTAGGTCTAACCTCGATCGAGGAAATATCTACCGCATCTGCATTATCTTCTGTCTCCTTAGAAATGTTAACATATTTCAATAAAGAACCTTTAATTTTACTAAGCGACTCACTCACTTTCTCTCTTTTTTGCGTTTTTCATGTCCACTTTGGGTGTTTTCTTTTATATCCATCAGACATTTTTCGCTAAAAAAAAATATTTAAAAAAAGCTTTTATAAATTGCGCTTAAAAGTTTAAATAATTTTTTAACTTTCTGATATACCATAATAAAAGCGATGGGCACGCACAAACTAAAATTTAAACTTGTTTTCTCCTTCTTCTCGTCACCTTTAAATATACATTTTAGTTTGCGCCCGTCACTTTTATTATGCTATCAGAAAGCTAAAAAGTTATTTTAAATTTGTTAAGTAATGCATTTTAAACTTGTAAAAACGAAACCCGGATTTACGAGTATGGATTAAAATTAAGCTATTGCAAAGGTGATTTGGACTGTACTATTTCTACGACTACTACTGGAGATTTTTTACAATAGTATGGCCAAACCACCCATAGTAGGCCTACTCAAAGTTCCTTGCATTGTGCTGCATTCTACAGCGGACTATTATACTAATAAGAAGAATTGATAAAATGAAAATTCTATTATTTATAATGGAATGAAGCAATATTCCAGAATCAAAAACTAGGTTGAAATAAGTAGAGTATAAAAAACAACTTTCCTTTACTTACCTTACTTATAATAAATTTAACTTCCAGTTTTAAACTAAAGATTGACTTGGGGTTGAGCGTGATTAAATACAAGCACAGGCATACACGCTCTATCGTAGTGTTTACATATTAACTTATTACACAACTGAGCTACTAAAACAAAAGACCTTAGCAGCAGGGAAAACCTCTCGATCGCGCGCAAGCGTTTGGTAGTGGGCATGGAAACGTGGCCAACTGTGTCAAACACATGTGCCCGTCCGAGAGGTTTTCCCGGCGGCTAATGTCTTGTCATGTTCATGTACTAAAACCCTGGAATTCTGCATGGAATTTGGTAGATATAAAAGTTGCATTGTTGCAGATAAACTCAATTCTGGAATTATGGCTATTGAAAATGGCTCTATGAAAAATAAAAACATTAAAATCCCAAAATAAAATAATGTTATTTTACCGCATCATCACATTTTCGGATTTATATCTACAAAAAAATTATTACTTAATATTAGCGGTCAATTTCAGTTAAAAAATGTTTATTATTTCGGGGCCTACGCTGCTGGAGTGCCTAGGGCCTACGACACCCTTAATCCGGCCCTGGTTACTGAGCACAAAATTTACGAGTTTTCAAACTATCATGTACTACAGCGTGTAGAATTCCTCTGACAAATGAAATATCTCAATAAAGGCAATGTTCTGCTTCGTCAGTATCAAGCTGGACACCTTCGTACTAGGCTCGTGTACGTCTCACTTCTGACCTGCCATTACTCATCCGTTTTACTGCACTTTCACTTCCCATTTCAAGTTCCTAATCCCACAGTACCATCAATCTGTGAGACTCCATCAGGACAAAGCTAGTAATCACACGTCAAAATCCACTGTAAATTTCCTAAAAGAAATGGAACAAAAAACTGGTATCAAGGCCATAACCTTCACTGATATCCCTGATAAATCTCCCGATGTGTCAACTATGGATTTTTGTGCTTTCGGACTTTTAAAAACTGCATTATCCAAACGTTGTCCCAAAACCCTAACAGGACTCTGGAAAGCTGTTCGGGAGGAATGGGATAGAATACCTCTTCTGCCACTTCAAAAGGCCCTATTATCCTGGAAATTGCGGTGTCGAAAGATAGTTCAGAATAAGGGATGTCAAATAGAACATTTAAAACACAAGAATTTTATGTAATTTAGTTTTGTGAATACAATATACATCGTCTAAAAAATGTGTGAACAGCCTCTGTATGTGCGAGCAATTGTTTCAGCCATAATATTCTGCACAGATATTGCTGCACGTAAATGAGAAAAACGATCTGTAAAAGTGACAAAGTATGTATATCCATCAGAGGTGGAAGCAAGGGTCCCACGATGTCGAGGTGAACGTGCTCGAATCTTTATGAAACAATTCTTTTAGAACAAATGCATTCATATTAATTCTTCCCAACTATCAGTAAACTCATAAACGCACCGCAAACATATTCTGCTACCGTGATGAGAATTTGTATATAAATGGAAAAGAACATTTAATTTTATATATTTTATTTCACACATTAAATATCATAACAGAACATATAATCAATATAGATTCATAACAGCGATATACACTAGAACATTACTGCCTTTCTTTAGAAATAAAAGTATTACCACTCCATGTGTAATGCTATTGTTATCACCCATTTGTACTTAAACAATTATATAAATGGAAACTACCCCTCAACGTATGTTTATAAATCGAATAATGTAAAAATATTATTGCTAATGCCAAACTATACATGCAGTTTTAAAAATGGAATATTGCTGCATCATCTTTCTGGAAGATGAAATAAAAGTGTATGATTTAGTGGAAAGCACATTTTGCCTTTCCATACTATTAATTAAAAGGTCAGTTAAGTACTGCGGGATTCCATTCTTTCAAGAAGAAAAATAGAAACTCTTAGAAACTGCAGGACTGACGCAGGAAAAAAATTCACCAAACTAGAATGTCCCAAACATGACTTACCTTTAGAAACATCTTAGTTAAAAAAATCTGAATTTAAGATAAATAATAAATCTGAAGTAATGCGAAGAAGAGTGACCAATCCATTCGAATAATATCTTATGTTTAGAAGCTTCAAATGCCATAACCATAGCAGTTCAGTTAAGGTATTGTTATCCATAAAAAATAAATAAATAAAATAAAAAAATATAGAAAAGTGTGCCTGGGGTACTGTATTTTTTAACGTTGCGTGGGGGAACAGAACTTCAACTATGCGCCTTTGTGCAGTTACAGAACTCCTGTCATAGCTATGGAGTTCGGTGCTATCGTCTCTCAGAATTCCTCTCTAAACAAGAAAGCAGCTACTGTGGAAATAGGGCCTTTCATGAATATATGATGAATGTTTGTTGTGCCATGCTTTCTACGTATGAATGTTTATCTAGAACCACAATTTAATTTGAACTGGGCTCATCTATGAGCAATGCCTGAGTTCAGTCACCTTCATTTTCATAGAGAAGTGTCCACCAGCGACCGAGCGGTAAAATCGTTAAGCACCGATAATTTGGTCTGGGGTTCCAATCCTGACAAACGGGGTGGCTGCATAGGCGTTTCCGTGGCTTTTCCATGTGTAACGTGTATCCGAGCCAGTTTTCTTTAGAAAGTTCTCCACGAGGCATCCTTAACTTTAGGCAGAGAGCACTCGAATGCTTAGCCATAATTAAATAAAATAACTCTCACATCGTAGACGACACAATATTCAGAGTTCTCCTCCTGAAAAAGCAGGAAACGGAATGGAACCCATTGGATTTGTCATGGAGTGCAAGTTATGTTCTTCAAGGAAGTCTTCAAGGAGTTCTTCAAGAGTCTTCAGGAAGAAGCAGGTTCGCTTATGAGAGAGCTAGTGACTGCAAGGAGTTCACAGTGCAAGAGGAATAACGTCTTTAGATGCTGTAGTTCCTTCGGACAACTAGCTATTCCCAAAACTAAGAAGCGGTTTCAGAATCTAGAGATCTTGCTTTAGAGAATATTAAGCTATCTGGAGTTGTCCAGCTGTGTTTGATTTCCCTCGAGTGTAATGGATATCCTCGACTTCTGGCCTTTATCTAAATGATAATTTTACAGCTATGATATCCAATCGCTTTTAGGCTTACAGTTATGTAATCAAAATATGTGTATGACGTAGAACATGTTTCTTTTTAACGATTTTCTCGCTTTCATTTTACATACCTATTCTGAGCATCTTAAAGATGATGAAAACTGTAAATATTTGCATATATGTATAGCTAAAGACCATATGTTTTTAAGAGAATAAAATTTACTGCATATGATTTGACTTTGACAATTCTTTTCCACTTTCAGGAGGAAACAGATGAGAAAATCCGAGAAGATCTCAAAGTTGAATACGAGCAAAAAAAGGTTGTATGTATAAACAGATCTGTGTTATTAATTCTTAAAATTCTTATATTATTGGGCATTTACTAAAACTACGTTTCGATATTCTTTACAGAAAACTTTCGAGAGTTTATTTGACATTGAACGACACAAGGCTTTGGTTGCTAGAGGTACAAATATTTTGTTTTCATGTTATACTTTTCAGTTTTATTTTACTTCAAAAATACCACCCATTTATTAATTGATATATTTTATATTTAAATTTAATAAATTATTTGATAATGAATAAGATTTTAGAGCACTGGAAAGTATACTTTTAGAATACTGGAAAGAATACTTTCCTTAATATAATCTAAAATTAAATTTTTGTAAATATTAAATTATTTAAATAATTGTATTAACAAATGTTATTGGTTTGATAAAATAAGAAATGAAGCAGTTAAAATTTGAAAAGAATAACAGTTTCCATTGCGCACACAACACAGTTTTCTTCTTTAGTGATCTTAACAATTTTGCTTTGAATATAGACAATATAATACGAATATTACAAGTTGACAATATATTACAAGTTGGATTCCAATTCCAGCTTGTAGTAGTTATAATCAAATATAATTAAAAACATGGTCATAAAATACCATTAATACTTTTGTGCTGTCTTTTTTTAAAATTATTTGCTGGAAAATATGTAATATTAACAAAAGTCCATTAATAATATTAAACAAAATTTACATTGTTTTCTGTATTTCTGAAATGTGTGTGGCACTATTCGTAGTGTGAAAAGATTCAAGCTGATTTAATTTTCCATATATATAAAAATACAGAGTAAAATCTCTCTTAACCGGTACCATTAGTTGTAATAATATCAAAATAAAGGCACTTTTGGAGGTCTAAACTGAAATCTGAAATTTAAACCTATGAGATTAAATAAATATATATAATAGGAGAATAATCTGAAAATTTAAATGTTGAAAACATTTACATTATGTTTCTGCCTCCTAGTACAAGAAGCTTAATCTAACCAGTTGGACCAAAGAATTAAATTGTGGTTTATGACACTGTTCGTAGATGACGGGTCGATTAACGAAGATTCTCTTGTGTTTAGAACAGGTTCAGTGCCCATGGACGACATTCTGGATCTAGTTCCATGTTTGGAGAAGTTTAGTATTAACCTTAGGTTAGTATTAGTGAAGAGGAGATGCAGTTTGGGGTGGACGAAGGCATTCTGTTTTTATCACTTTGACTGCAGATGACGACGAAATAATCAGAAATGTTCTGGGAAAGGAATTGAAGAACTTTCTACGAAGGCGAAAATTTTACAACTGTTTTTGAAACAAAACAGTTGTAAACACTTATAGTGACTAATGAACACTTAAAAAATACACACACACATGCACACATAGAGAAAAAATATCCCCAGCATTAAAGAATTAATTAAAATTAAGAATGGTAACACAGACATGTTTTATTTGACACAAAATTTAGGAAGTCGAATATTATCTCAATATTTAGTTCTAGAATTAATAAACGGTATAAGTTAAAATTTATAAGCAAGAATAACTGTTCCAGAAAGGCATTCCATGTTTTCACCGAAATATATTGTTAAACATTCCATTAGTACTCTTCTCTTCCCAAATTGCATATCCTTATACGTTAGTTAGTATTTTTTTAATAAAATTAAATTTACATGACTTTGTCAAACCTTGTATTGCTGGGAAATGGTAAAGAATGCATGCCAAAAGAAATTAATATAAATATGCGTTATTTAGCATTCAAGTTTACATTATTGAAACTTTATACAATTAATATGCTGACAATACTCTACAGGAAAACAATTAAATAGTCTTATTATCAGATTCTGAAATAAAACTAAAATAAAATGATTTCTTTTAAGCCGAAAGCTAAGAAGATTCAAAATCAAGTATCTGAATATATTTTTAATATTAGGCTCACATATAAAGCGGCTAATAGTTTTCAGAACAGCTTTTCGATCAAATAAAAGCTCGTCCTAGATTAAGGTCAAAACAGTATTGTTATTTGATCTAGAGCATTTAACCTTTTCCTGAAAGGCAGCGACATGTATGTGTCCACGCGTTCTCTACATTAAATAAAAAAATTAGTTTACTATAGAGATTTACAGTTTGCGGAGTGGGAAATTGCAGACTTTGGTCGGTTTGTTTTTCTGTTCCTTGCTGATAGAACTGTTGATTAAATAATGGCTTCAATGCGTAAAAAATTAGTCTCTCTAGCCCGCGTGAAAAGGTTAATTCTAAAAACGCAACCAAGTCTTGTTTATATCGAATAAGCAATACATATTTTTTTTTTTTTTTCAGGAGAAAGACGGTTTTCTCACAAAGCTCTACAAGGAGCTCTAATGATATCCCTTTATAGAGAAGAGCCAAGATTCAATCAGCCATTTCACATTTTAACTCAACTGATGGATATTGATGCTTATATTACCAAATGGAGGTGTAAGTAATCATTTGTATAATTTACTGTAATTTAAATAACCTAACAAATACACTGTTAAAAATGAAATTAATTTGAAAAATGTAAATCCTAAAAAACTTTTTATATGATAGAATAGCAATGCATTATTCACATTATTTAAATATGTCATTTTTAAACCTATTTTATGGCTCCAATGTCTGTAACTAAAAATAATTTTAAAAAAGTAACTTTCGTTGGATTGCCAGCAACAAATATTTAAAATAAAATGTCATAATATAGTTGGAAATTTCAAATAATTAATAATTCATACCCAATGAAATGCTAGGTGGTATAAACAATAGTACGAAAAAATTAAACCTGATAATAATTATCAAAATACACACAACTTCACGTACAATAACGAAAGCAATATTCCTTTTGCTGACCAGCCCTAATTCAATTTATATGCTAATTCTCTTTGAATTACTCTTTTAGAAAGAAAGAGTGAGTTTCATCCTGTATGTCTGAAAGTATTAGACAGAGTAAATGCCAGCTGGTTTGTAATATAGAATACATTACATAAAACTGAATGCAAAAATATGTGCAATTTTTATGTAGAATCTAAATTAGTAAATATTTTTAAGTTAGATGATACAACTAGCTCATCTAATGATTTAGGATTGCAGATCCTAATTAATGGTAAGATAAAAATTAATAGTAATGACAGAAAACAACAAGTTGTTATAATAAATGTTGATAAAAAATATTCAGATAGTTTAAATTTGCCAATGAACAAAACAGATACTAACTGCAAGGAATTCCACTGTGACTGTCACTACAATTAGCTCTAACTAACCCTCCACTCCATTTATATTGTTCGGTTAATCACCCATCGTTATGTTGTCACCCTCTTTGTCATAATGAATGGTATAAAACAATTGGCAGCGAGTAATATTTTTAATACTGAAAGATTCGTCAAATGAATCACGCAGTTCTAATTCTTGACAGATATAACATTTAGATTTGTTTGAGTGATGAGTTCTCTTTCCCATTAAATATGTTCTTTTATAGTTTTAAATGTAAAGTTTTAATGTAATTAAGTAAAAAATACATTACTTTAAATTGCATTACTTTTAAATGTAAAGCTTGTTGAAATAAACATGTATAAGTGGTTAAAAAAAAGATTTTTGCACGGAACTGAAACTACTATGAATAATAGCTTCAGACGCCAAATCTGCACCATGCATTTCCAAAGGAGCAATAGAAGGCCGGGATGAAGCTGTTACTCTGGTAAGAGGCTGACCCACTAGTAATAAGAAAATTCCACATAGCGGCAAAGAAAGCATTCTGATGAATGTTTATTGCGGATTTTCATTTGTAAGAAACGAGGACAGCCCCAGTTCTCTTTATATCACATTTTTTATTAAATGGAAATATGAAACCTTCAACTACTGTTGCATCGTTTAGAAACCAAACACCCCATCTACAAATAAAAATAAATAAAAAATTTTCTGCGACTATTTCAAGATCAATTTAAAATCTTACCTGCTTTCAGCTAATACACATTATGAAAATGCAAGTGAATTTCTTACAGAATAAGCTTATCATTGAAAAAAGGTAAAACAATACAACTGCTAAAAGTTTGATAATGTGTAATGCATGTTTGGGGAACGTATTCGAAAAAATTACCAGCATTTTCTTTTCAAACAATTAATCTCATAAATAATAAAGGGCATGTCAGATGTTTTTTGATTGAACATGTCTGACAACTTATAGTGAACCTCTTGAAATCAAGTCTTAATGAGCCTTCAGAGATCAAAAGAGAAGAAAATAATACTTTGAAATCACATGCTCCATTTTGTTTGATGACCTTCTGTCATTTTTTCGGCAGCATCATAATACCGTCGTACAAATTTTGAGGTTTCTAGTCAAAATACTATGACATGCGGTTTTCACAGGCTTCTTCTGAAATTGATTTAACACCATTCAGGGAGTTCTGTAGAAATTGAAATATACTCTGACGATGCTAGGCACGTCTATATAGTTCATGCATCAAAACTAAAAGTTCTATCAATTTCTGATGTGTCATTAAAGATGTGTACGGTCTGGCGTTGTCAGTGTGGTATACTAAACTCTTTCTATTGATAAGTTCCAGGCGTTTCTTTTGAATAATTAGGTGCAATACCTCTACTTGACAATAATCAGTGGCGTAGCTAGGATTCCAGCGCCCAGGCACAACTGAAGAATTTGCCCCTTTCTGTGTGCCATGAATAGAAAACATTTCATTAAAAAATTTCATAGCATCCATTTGGCACCACCTGGACAAAGAATATGTATGCAAAGAATAGACGTTCTTTGGCCTGGTTGCTGCACCCTTGGACAGATGTCCCTCCTTGCCCCACCCTAGCTACGCCACTGACAATAATACAAATCCAAGTCAATCGCTCTGCCAGGCATCAATAGCTCGAGAAACTGCCGCCAGGTTGCAAGGAGCATTTCGAGGTGCATCTTGGAGCGACTTACATTTATCCTGAAATTTGGGATACAAAAGCTATCTCATGAACGAAAGTCTCAGTACCTTTTAAAAAAACCCAATATTAATTAATTAAAAAATAATTTAAGATTTAATATTTCACAGTGATAAAACACAGTTTAAGAAATGCAAATGGGTTTTAGCAAAAGCCTAGACCTTATCAATTGTCAAAAAATTCATCAATTCCCTCATTGTTTCATTCCCGTTTCAGAAAAACTGATATTCAAAATTAATACATTAATAACATTATATTATGGCTTAAAATAGGCATTATTGTAGTATTTACTTGAAATAAATGATGTGATAATGAGACATCGATTCATTATATTTTTTTGACCTTATTCATTACAGTCTATTACTTTTATGGTATTAAAAGAATACAGCAGTAAGATACATTGCAGGGTACTGTAACAGGATGAGAGAGGTCATAATTCTGGAAAGATAGGTATATTATTAAGTATAACTAAGGGGTACGTGACAGAGAAAACATTGAGAACTCCTGATTTAGGATATAAATTATTATTTTTTGTCAGTTATCAGTTTTGATATTTATTAAAAGTTTATATTCCAGACAATCACGTACTTATGGTGCAAAGAATGATAGGTTCCCAACAGTTAGGAACAGGAGGATCATCTGGATATTGGTATCTTAGATCTACTCTGAGGTAAATTTTGAAAATATATCTTCTTTATTTTCTCTGTATGTGTCTGTTTGTAAAAAACACGAATAAAATAAAAATTTAGATTTCACAATTTCATTTAAAAGTGCTGGAGCTGGCAGTTTGGTGGTTAATTAAAACTAGCTGCCCTACTGATATTATTTGACTTGGGTTCAGTTCCCAAATAAAGCCAGGGTTTTCTCATTGTTTTATCCTTCTCTTGCCAGTGCACTCTGGGCAACATTCTCAGTGATAAGACAATGAAATAGATGACTAGAGCTATTCTTTAATGAAACCAAACTGGCAAAAGCTTGAGAGTGGAGGCTTAATCAAATTAAAATATTAATTTTATAACAAAATAGTTTCATCATTGCATAAAATAAAATCCATAAATGTTATTTTATTGCATAATATAAGTATTAAAATTCTCTAAAAATTTAAAAACATATCCTAATTACATGCCTGATTTCTGAAATAAGAAATTTCGATATGAAAATATCTTTAACAAATGCAATTCTGTTTAAAAGAAAATCAAGAAAGCTTTAGTGTTCCTTACATACATTTAAATAATTTATCTTCCCTCAACAGTTAGTGGTAATGGTCATTTAAATAAATTATTCATTAAGAATAACTAATAAAAATTTATTTCCTAGTAAATGTCACCATATACTATTATACTGAATGAATGATAGCATCTTTAGCATCACAACTGTTAACACTTTATGAAAAATTTTAAGATTTCAAAACATTCACAGCTATTAAATGTAAACATTTCAAATTTCAACTTCTATAATATATATGTAATAATTTGAAATGAAACCCTGGCTCAGAATGATTTAATTTTGGTTAAGCTTTATTGACCGTATTTACTTCATTAGCATTATGCGAGAATCATATAACTAACATGGATTAGTTTTAAAATGATGGAACTGAGAGATTTATTACAGGCAGACACTATTTTTAGAATCAAAAGAGGAAATAATTAAATTAAAATGGAGAGTTAAAGTATTACTGCAAAATTAAAGTTAGAATTTTGATATACATATATATCTTACATACATATACAATAAAAGTCCATCAATCCAGTATGTTCGGGACTTCAGAGATGCCAGATTGCCTAATCTCACAAAATGACTTTTCTTGCATTATTTAATGTATCGAGGAACGAAAGAAACTTCATGTACCTTATGCTATCACCATTTAATTTAAAATCTCCTGCGCATTTGTCCTGGACATCTACCAATGTAGAACTTTAAAAACAACATAAAAAGTGAATTTCATTAGCATTATATATTTGATAACTATTCTCATCCAATTATATCGAAAGTTGTCATATATTTACAAGTAGCATTTTTTAGTTCACCTGAAATGTCTAATTTACGGATGCCATATATTATTTTAAAACTAGCTGGGATGCTCAGCTTTCCTCAAGGAGTTGATATGAGATTGTATGGTAGTTGGAATAAAAGGATAAACTTTAAAATATAAGAGGTAAAATTTTTTTGTTGAAAACATATTTGAGCTATTTACAGTACTTGTTTATAAACAACACTTTTCATTTTCATGCAGTATTTGTACACGTGAGTTTTTTAAGCATGCATTCATTTCATCTGTTGTTGTTGACTTGGGGATAACTGGAAACGATTGTTGAAAATATCCTGAGAGTATGAGAACTCCTCCCATCACTTCACAGTTTCCTTGCAATTCTTGTAATGTTCTATCCATGGCTTCAAGTGATTTTTTATGTGTCATTGTGCATTCATACTAGAAGATAATTTCAGCTTGTTTTAGAAGTTCATCCCATCCAGATGCTCTTGAGATTTTGCATACCGGGAATTGCTCTTTGGCTATATTCAGTGGTAGTTGTACGGGGGGGGGGGATGGGCAGTTTGTCCTCCTTCCATAAGTATGGCGAAATGCTGGATGATGCCAGTGCAAATGCAATATGTTGTTTAGCGCATATTTCTGCCTTTCGATTTATATTCAGTCACTGTATCACTTTGATTATTCACACTTCACTGTTTGTTTTTATTCACCATAATATTCCAGAACGTTTGAGAAAGCTCTGAAATGTTTCACAATGATTTGGGATGTTCCTTAACGTTCCAGACTATTCCAGAATGTTGATGAATGCTCTCAAATATCCTGGACTGTTCTAGAAATTTCTAAAGGGCGAAACTTCCAGCCCTTAATCTTCAAAAGCATGCCTTTCAGGTAAAAACGGGAACTTTCTCTTCATGGATGGGACATAGAGGGCTACTACACCACATAACTCCCTTGATTGTACCAGGACTTGTTTTTGAATTTTGTTACATTGTACACTTACTTTTGTAATATATATTGATTAGGAAGGCATTTAACTGAAAATAGCTATTTTTTTTTAAAAAAATCCTACGCTTGTCCTTTAGCATAAATCTTATTAAAAATTTGCCTTGGGATCTCTCCACATAGAATCTTTTTGTAGTGTCTTCTTAGCATCAATAGTTTTTGAAATAGCTAACTCAGATAGAAAATTTTGAATTCTTCTTTGTTTTTGATATTAGCAATAGAAGAAATTCCACAATTATAATACTTCTATTTTCATATCTCCAAAGTTAGTTAATAATATCTAACTTTGGTAAATGCATTAAATAATGCAAGAACATATTTTCGTCATATCAGTACAACTTCTATTTTCATTAGCTCCAGAGTTTAATAATATCTAACTTTGGTAAATACATTAAATAATGCAAGAAAACAATTTCGCCATATCAGTGTTTTTATCAAGCTTTGAAAATATTCGAAATAAAGAAAGAATTAATCAAATAAGCATACACATGCGAAGTTTTAAGCAAAATATTAATTGAAAATAGCAGAAGAAAGACAAGCAGTAACTGCTGGCCTTTTTTGAATAATATGCTAGTAGGGTCATATTATAGCCACGAATACCAATGAAAAGGTGTATGATATTGAGTGTGCTGAAGCACTAGAGGCCGAATTATTGGACTTTCACATTAGAAATATGATACCACTCATGGAGATAAACCGAGTCATTCAAATAATGCACAAATCTGCAATGAGTATCTGTAAAAAGTAGCAGGATATTATTCATATAAAGAATACTATAAAAAAAAGTACTTCTTTAGGCAAATTTTAAAAAAAATTCTAGGAAGAAGAGAGAGCATGGGAATGTGACTATATTTTCTACATGTGGAATACATTGTAGAGTAATTCCTTTCGGATACATAGATTAAACTGAAAAATCATGCAAATACATCTTGTGTATTAATCGAGAACTTTAAGCTATTCCTTTCCTTTCCTTTCATTTGCATTTACTTTTTGATAAATTTAATTTCTTACAATTTTTGATGAAGTTCTACAACTTCAAAACTTATATATACTTCAGTATCTTTCATAATTTTTCAGATAATAATGCTATCATTCAAATTCTACTATTAAATATGCATATTCTGATAGTGCACAGCCATTTTAATACAGTAATACCTTATCTCCATAGTTTTCATTCAAAAGTTAGGTGGATGACTTTAGTGGGTACCCTGTATAGCATTAGATATATCATTTTAACCTTCTGGGCAGCATGACCAGGTTTATCCAAGATTTTTGTCACTTGGCATATAATTTAAGATATTTTGCTTTCTTACTTACTTTTTTGGTTGTTCGCATTGACTCATTTTAACCTTAGATTATATCATTTTCCTTTTGTTTCCATTTTTAAGATATTTGCTTTTTGCTTTACTTTTAATATAAGTTATGAAAATAGGAACTATTATACACACATTTAAATGCTGTTTAAATACAGGTGTTCATGAAAGGTCCAAAATCTCACACTGATCAAAGGGTTAATGGTAGTAAAATGCATGAGAGAAGACATAAGCAAGCAGTTTTTCTTTTACTTCCTATTAAAGTAAAATAAAGCCTTTAGCTCTGTCTTTAATATATATAAGTCCATGGTTAAGATTTCAAAAGCAATAAAAAATACACTTTTTAAATCTGAATAATGTTAGTCCTCTTGTTACTCGATACTCAAGAAATTAAGGTTTTTGTTCATTACCAGAAAGTATATTTCTCTGCTATTTTGAGGGTCCATGAATTTATGAACTATTCATTAATGAAGGTTTGATTGTACTGATTTTCATTAAAATATGCTTGAGCATAGTTTAGTGTTTTTTCAAGCTTCAGAAAATTTCATTCATTAGAAGTCTCAAACTATAACTCTCTAAAATCTCGCAAGAATGTAGACAATGTGTACGATTTGAAGCAATGCTATTATAACTAAAATTAAATACGTTCTACAGATATATTTAATCCTTCAACATTTTACATTTTTTAAGGCTTGAAAAGTTTCATAATGACACTATATCTCTTTACTTAGAAGCTGGCCTTTACTTTTACCGAGGAAACATTTATTGTTGCAAAATTTATTTTACATGAAAAATTATTTGTAGTATATTAATGAAGCATGATTAGGTGGATAAATTGCATAAACATAATAAATATTCAAAATTAAAAGGGAATACTACTCATAAAATTTTATATTTTCTAGTGATCGTTACAAAGTATTTGTTGACCTGTGCAATTTGTCAACTTTCCTCATTCCTGCTTGTTACATTCCACCATTAACAGTACAAATGAAACATCGTTTATCTATTAGAGAGGAGCCAGAATCTGATGAAGCAGATCCAGCTTGCTAATAAAGAAATGGATTTAATGTATCTTTTTTTGTTACTTTTTTGATAAAGTGGCAAAATAATGTGAAAACTTATATTTAAAAAAAAAAAAACTGCAATGAAAAATGCTTATCTTTAAAATGCTCATTAATTCATGTAATGGCCAAATGTATGAACTGAAACCAATATTATGTGAAAAGTATATATTGATGCAAGTGCTTATGCATGAAATAAAATGAAACAGAAATAATACAGAATATTTATTTAAGTAACTATAAATCACAGAAAGTTAAAAAAATTACAGGAATTTTCTCAAAAATAAAATATGCTCGAAATCGTATAAAAACATTGTGAACTATTAAGTTCATAATATAGAAAATTATGAATTTCAAACAGTAAATGACTATCAATATAAAATAAAAAAGTTTTTTTTTAAATTTGTTCCAAAATTATGCACACAAATTATGTGCACATTTTTTATGTTTTCCAAAATATATGTGCATTATCAGACTGAAAAACACAGTCTGAATACCTAGAAAATTTTCATAAACTCTCACACACAAAATTAAAAATATAATGTTTGCTTATTATTCAAACTTAAAAGGCAATGTATTATTTAATTACAACATTTCACACTAATACAAATACAAAAATTTTGTTCATGGTTTTTAAAGTGATGATGCAGCATCATTTATTTAAAAAAGTATAATTATTTTCAAAAACACACTATAAAAAGTTTGAAAATCATCAACCTTTTATTAAAAAAACAAAAAAATATAACATTAGAAAAATATATTATCTAAATATATAAAACGAAGTAGATGCTACAGTTTTTAACTGTAATTTGAAACATACCATTTATAGCCAAAGCAAGAAAAATTCTAAGAATCTAGTGTACTAAATCTTACTAATCTAGTCTTCTACAAAATTCTTATTAATTTTCCCTAAATTTCTCAAAATATAAACACATGACTAGTTGGGAGAATTCTTTGTAGTACATGTCAAAAATTACTTAAAAGAAAAACTAAGAAAATTTAGTTTTTATTAATAAAATTGCAAAAATCAAGATAAAATTATAACTATACAAAAACAAAACAAAAAATTAATAAAATTCGCTTTGTTACTAACAGTTTATGATAAAAACAAAATCAAAGCACATCTAGTGAAGATACTTCTTCTGCAATACCTATGAAATAAATAAAAAAGGGATTTATCTTGAGTTACAACATAATTACTATCATGATACAATTATATCAAACGAATGACCAAAAACACAAAAATGACCTAATAATATTTAATGCAGCTTTCAGATAACAACATACTTTGCTTTTGTCACAAATGGTAAATGATGATCACTTTTTTGTACTTAAAATTAATATATTGATTTAAATAAATTGTCTTCCTTTAAAAAAGTCTGGTGCAAGTCTATGAAATTGTGATCATATTTATGAATAACAATCCTTCATTTACTTCAAATCATGGAGGATGGAGTAAGAATTGCTGTGTGCAACCCTTGCTCTGCAACTTCTTGAAATCTCCCAGTGATAAGCTTTCCTGGGCTGGTCATTTGTACTGTCCTTGCCAGAGTGTCATTTCAAAAATCTTTAAAAAAATGCCAGTTTTTTCGAAAAGTTTCACATTCAAATTATTATTAATAAATTAATGTTCTAAAGATTATCTTTAAATTGTTATTGAGTTCTAATGCAATAACCTTCTTTAAAATATTATTATGTTCTAATGTATCCTACCCCATTTGTACACTGCTCATTAATTTTTTTTTCTATAGAAAATTATTTCTAAATAAAATAACAAAGTTTTAAAATTATTTTCTGCACTTAATACAAAACATCAGAAATTATTTCATGAATTTTGAAAAGTACTAACTCCTTTTTATCAGGATTCACTCTATTCTTACTAATATGAATATGAATTTCAAAAGAATAAAAAAAAAAAAAAAAAAAAAAAAAAAAAAAAAAAAAGGAATTTTATAAAGACAGTTTCAGTTGCACAATCTCTATTCCACCTTTGTATACCTGATAATATCTAACACATATTATCAAAAATGTAATAAGAATTATGAAGTACATTAAGCAAAAAATACAAAATAGATATTGATATGACTAAGCATGAACTTATTTCATGGCATCAAAATTAGCAACTTCAAAAGATGCACCACAAAACTTAAAAATATTTTTTTTTTTTTTCAGAAATGTAAACTAAAAATATAATAATAATAATATTTCTAAAAATTCCATAATACTCACGACACATATTTTTGGCAACAGCTATATAAAGATATCCATCATTTCCAAAGTTAGTTCCCCAAGAATTTCTTACAATATAGTAAGGTACTTCCCCTAAAAGATTTCACAAAAAAGAAATATGTACGCTTTTTATTATGCAAAAGCTTAAAAATAAAATAACAACAAATATAATACACTAACAGGCAAGCCTGCCAAAAAAAATGAATAAATAAACATTTAAATATGAATAAAATCAGTTCATTCTTTCTCAGCAAGAAGAACCAATTGGTAAATAATTTTTGTTGCCAAACCAAGAAACAAAAACTTTGGACGTATGACATTATGATTTAAATTTAATGTAATAAAACAACTCTTTTTCAATATCAATAAACGAATTAACATGGTAATACCATACCACGTTAATTATTTCTCGAAATTCTAACCTGTTCTAAATTATTCTCTCGAAATTCTAACCTGAAACAAAAAAGTTGTAAACAGCAGTTGCTTATTTAAAATGCTGACATTAATGAAAAATTTTCCGATATACAGTGACATCACATGCAATTGTGTGCTTTTTTCAGTGATAGAATATGATTGTATATAATAATATGTTTAATATTTGGCAATGCTAATTTTATTTCATATTTTGTAATATATTTCATATTTTATTAACAAACTCTACAATTTGAAAGTGAGCAGTGGAAACACTTTTCAAAATAAAGCAGATTTATATCTCCAGGGTGCAGAAATATTACAGCTCGGAAAAATGGATGAAAAATCAGCAGTTTCAGAGGTTTTTAATTAATAACTCAGCTGATTAAATTCTTATAAAGATGAGAATGGTCGAAATGGCTTGCCATGAATTTTTGGAATCTCGAATAAGGTATTTAATGTTTGGGAATAATACACTTAATGTTTGGCAATGGTATTTTTTTTTTTTTTTTAATATTTTGTAAAACTTGCACAAATTTTTCAAAATAAGAAATTCAATGATTTGAAAGCGAGCAGTGGCAACACCTTTTTGAAATAAAGCAAATTTTATCTCCAGTGCAAAAGACTGTTGCCACTAGGAAAAATTACCATTTTTAGAGCTTTTATTTAATAGCTCAGCTGATTAAAGTTGTATGAAGATGAGAACGTTTCATGGAAATGGCTTCCCATGAATTTTTGGAATCCAGGGTATCTCTCTCGAAACTCAACTTCCCACCTTTCCAGAGGAGAGGATGCCACAAACAGACAGACAGACAAGCACAGATTTTAATAAGAATATATGTAAGGCGACATTTTCTCCTTTTAAAAAAAAACCAAGCTCAAATATGCAGTCTTATCATTAAAATCATACTTTTCTGTTGAAAAATATATTTAGTGTTCCTACTGAAAGTAAGTTAAATGGGATTCTTTTTTTTTCTGCCAGCGTTCATGTTTTCTGTCACTGTCAGAGTTAAAACTTTTTCCAACATGGCAGAAAGCAAGCACTACTGATAAAATACTGCAAATTCAGGTATATTCAAATTTCAAAAATTATCTAATTCAGTGGCTTCTAATCAATAGTTCATTATCTGACCACTAGTATCCAGATATCCAGTGGTATGGGCTTGGAAAGTCCTGGGCATATGTTAATATGATGATGGTCCCTCTTTTGCGTCGATGACAGCCTGCACATGTCTGGAGAGACTTTCCACCAGTTTTTGATAGGTGACCATTGGAATTGACTTCTAGGTATCTATCATAAGTGAAGTGAGTGCTGGCAATGAGGATGGTTGATTTTGCTGGCTACATAATCTGCATTGTAATTTGTTTCCAAAGGTGTTCTATGAGATTTAGATCAGACCTCTGAGAAGGCCAGTCCAGTTTATGAACATTTTCATCAAACCATGGCTGCACAAGTCTCAATGCATGAATGGAGCAATTATCCTCCTGGAAGAGAAATGGGCCTTCCCCGAAGTATTGCTATAAAGTTTGGAGAGTAGCATTGACCAGAATGTCCACATACATCTCATAATTCATATTTCTAACCATAGGAACTAAGGGACCCAGCCAAACCATGAATGCTGCCCCCCATTAAACTTTACATTCGGCAGAATGCAATCACTTGCCAGGCATCCATCAAACCCAGACGCATCCAATGGACTGCCAAATTATAAAACGAGATTCATCACTCCAAAGATCATTTTCCCACATTTCTGAAGTTCAATGACGGCCAATTCTGCTCCATTGCAATGAACACTTCGCATTCTGGGGAGTGATGGTCTGCATGTGAGTGACTGTATGACCATGGAATCCCCCGTTTTTTAACTCTCGATGAACAACCTGTCTTGATGAACTTACATGTGATAAACTTTTGAACTCTTGAGTGATTTCAACAAACAAGGACTTTTATGTCACTACATTTTTCAGAGTTTTATCGTTGCAGTCATTATTATTATTATTATTTGGCCTGCCACTTCATTTTTCTGCAGTTTCACTGCCTTGACATTTATACTTCCCAATTACATCATTCACAATGGATTTTGGCTTCTGCACAATGTCCAAAATTTCATGAACTGATTTCCCACAAAGGTGGTATCCCACTGTACTGCCACACCTTTGACTCATTGTCTCACAAACACATAAATATGACCTGAAAAACCACTAGCAACACTTTTATAGCTTTTGATTACACATCAAATTATGCAACCTGCTATTTCTTGCAAAATGTATTCATAATAAAGATGGCTAAATTTTAAAAAAACTGCAGCTTGTTTCAATAATTTATCTGTTTTAAGAATAGTTCTTTTCATTCCTAGTCCTTAATTTTAAAATTGAGAGCGGAACAGGTTCCCCAGAATTTTAATCAGAAAAAAACTGCATTGTTCTCTCTTTCTTTTTGAAAGAACTACTGAAGAAGTAACTAGTTATCTTCAGTAAAATATGCTTTATTGATATTTTATAGTAAAAAATTACATCATATTTTATTTCATTAACTGTTCATAATGATTCTGAATAAAAAATAATATGAAGATGATAAAAAATACAATTATTAAGCAGGACTGAAATACAATAGAACCTCAGATCATGCAAAAATTTTGTGAACAGCAAACATTTCGAGTGATGAATAGTGTTTTGATAACAAACATGCAAATCAATGACAAGTGATTTTCAAAAGTCTTTCAAAGCAGGCTTTGATCTCTGACACAGGATTAACTCTAAGACTTCTAGGAACTTCCATTTTAATATCCCCCATTGCATAACTGTCATGAGAAAAGCTTAGCAGCAAGTGACTTACAAAACCATGAATTTGGGACTGGAAGTAATTATGATCAGATTGTGTTGCATAACAATTTCTTGTTATCTGTAATCCTGTGTCTCTAAGAAAATTTATGCTTTGGAAGATAATAGTGAAGATGTAATGGGGGTTCTTAGAGGTACTGGAGCAACTTCAGAAGCAGCAACAAAAGATGACTGTGCATAAAATGAATTTAATGATAAAGGATGGACATGAAGATGATGTTTTCTAATCCATGAAATTTGATAAAAATGGATTAAAGTGAGCAGTTTCTTAGAATCTTGATAAAATAGCAGCAAGAAAAAATATAAGCATTTTAATTCCAATGGAATATCTCACTTTAGAAACAGCGTAAAAAGGGATGGGATCATTTTTGATAAATTTTTAATAAGATAGAGGCCCAGTGAGTTTAAAGCAGAATGGTATCCTCAGAGACCAAAAAGCAAGGAAAGGTGGGGAAACAACCTGATATTCAATGGAAAAGGCTTTCTTTTCAAACAGTAACACTTCTTCTCTTTCACATTACCTTCCACTTACCACATAAAATCTTCATACAGCTAGGATAAAATTAAGTTTGCATCTATTTTCTCTCTTTATTACTGTGCTTATCTTTTCTTAAGTTAGATTTAGTAAAGTCTATCTATTCTGTATTTTAAGCATGTATACAAATGCTGTTATAAAAGTTTAAATTGGCAGACCAAAGAACAGATTAATACATTTCACATTAATTCCTACCAAGGAAATGCTTCGGTGTATGAGAAACCTTCAGGAATGAGTTGCATTTATGAAACAAGACTGCACTGTATTTTAGTATCATATTTTACAATTAATTAAAAACTTGCCTCGGGTAATCAGTAATTACAAATGTTTCTTGAACCTTCCTAAGGAAATTTTATCTTGGGGGGTTCATTTGATATTTAATCATGACTAAAAGGTGCATATATGAAAAGTTTAAGAACCACTGGTCTAATACCATATTCATAATTTATTCCTTTAAAGAATTTGAAGTTTGGGCTTCCTATATGCACAAATAACAAATATTTGTAAAACAACATACATATTACAACTAACAACGGATAATCAAACTGAGTTCATATTGTGATCAATTTCATACCTCTTTATGTGATATGATAACTTCTATACTGAAGTTTTTTATATTGAAAGGTAATTCTTAAATAAAGGTTTAACAGTACTTTAAAGAACTAAACTCTGAACTTCACTATGGTCCTTAAGGTTTATCAATAAGTTTTGGATTCAACCCATTATATCACATATGCGAAATTCAACATGAATACCATATCAATCTAAATGTAAGATTCATCCCTCAAAATGCTTTTTTGAAAACCACAGCCATATGCTAGGTTTAAGCTCTCTTTCTTTAAATGTAAAACATCTTGAATAATGTAAAATTGTTTTATGTTTGAAGCTTTGTTATAGTTAGGCTAATATAATATATATTTTAATACCATGGAACACAGTAACAGAAGAAAGTTATGAGTTAACTGAAAAAAAAAAAAAAAAAAAAAAAAAAAAAAAAAAAACAGAATAGTACTATGTACATCAGTAAAATAATTTCTTGCCAAACTCATAAAACAAATTATTCTTCAATAGAATAATCAATTAAAAAATCTTGTCTTTAGGCAATAAATGAACTAGAAAATATTTATCAATATTATTTAAATTATAGTAATAAAATGGAAAAAGCTTGAAACATTTACCAGTTAGGTCATAACCAACAATTTGGACAGCATGATTTCGTTCAGAATCACAATGAAACTGTATAATTCCTCCTAAGTAATCTTGCCATCCTGAAGCATCAACTGCAGCTATGAGAGGACCATGGTAAGCAAGATGAAGTAACATCAGATATTCTTCCCCAACAAAGCTGAAACACGAAACAAAACGAAAAATTAGCAGATGAAATAAACAATCATATAGCAAGAATTAAGATAACATTTCCTATGATGAGTAATAAGTACCTGAGAATTTTACTTCTACAAGAATAAAATTAAACTAGAATTTGTACTGAAGAACCCCATTTATATGAGGTAATGAGGAGTAGTGCTATATTGGATAACATAAGCCCCAAATAAAATGGATAATTGCAGCCATTTGAGGAAGAAAATTATGGGTAATAAATTTTTGCCAATTTTTCTAGCACAGAATCAGTTTATCTTAGTATATTTAGTATTATTAATATAAAAATAAAAGAAAATCTTAGTTGCTCACTTTAATCCATTTTTATCAAATTTCATGGATTAGAAAACATCATCTTCATGTCCATCCTTTATCATTAAATTCATTTTATGCACAGTCATCTTTTGTTGCTGCTTCTGAAGTTGCTCCAGTACCTCTAAGAACCCCCATTACATCTTCACTATTATCTTCCAAAGCATAAATTTTCTTAGAGACACAGGATTACAGATAACAAAAATTGTTATGCAACACAATCTGATCATAATTACTTCCAGTCCCAAATTCATGGTTTGTAAGTCACTTGCTGCTAAGCTTTTCTCATGACAGTTATGCAATGGGGGATATTAAAATGGAAGTTCCTAGAAGTCTTAGAGTTAATCCTGTGTCAGAGATCAAAGCCTGCTTTGAAAGACTTTTGAAAATCACTTGTCATTGATTTGCATGTTTGTTATCAAAACACTATTCATCACTCGAAATGTTTGCTGTTCACAAAATTCATGCTTATTTTTGTAACACATTTATTATGAAGCTATTTAACAGTTTTAATGCGAAATACACATATTATGATAGTTACATTTTAATGTGAATGGTTTTTTTTCATACTGAAGTTCAATAATTATTGTTAAGTATAGTTTATTTCTGCTACATAATATTAAAAAAAATATACTGTTTTGAAAGCACTTAAATCATCTATACAAGAAAACACATATGGACATTTTTGTGATCTCAGTACATTATTCATGGCAGAACTTTTATGAATTATAACAATACTAACATATTATACCTCTGCCTTAGAAAATGGAGAACTACATTTAGTCATCTTCTGCTTTATGTAAGTTAATTAATTTTAACTTTAAAAGAAACTGCATTGCAAAGGGAATAAATATCATATTATAGTAATATTAATATTGTAGTACTCATTTTTTGTTTATGAATCAGAGTAACCCTACCCCCTCAGAATCACATCTTTAGAAACTTGGTCTAAGAAATCTGTTACTCTTTTGACAGTATATAATTTATGGTTAGTAAATATGCTGCATTTAAAAGGTAAACTTTCAATAAGAATACCCAAATTATGTATCACTTCAGAGAATTTTAATTTTAGTTCATTAACTCATTTAAAAATATGTAAAGCTGCCAGTACTTTAGCAAAGCAAGCCCTTTTTAGAAAAAATTTAAATGAGCAATTTCATATTACATATCCTTTCACATATGCACTTAGTAACATCACATAATTAAAGATAAAGGAAATTAAAATCATTATTATTTCCAAGCATATGGATTTTAGTACTGCACTATAATTCACATAATTAAATTATATACAGTATTTATATTTTTTTATATAATATGCAAAATAAATTAATGCCAAAAATAAGGATAAAATTTTTTTAAGATATTTTCAAATTTATCTTTTATACAAAAGTAGTAAAATTTGCTTGACATATTGCGATTTTAAGGTCGGCTTTTTTCTTTCATTTTTTCAGTACCACTTCAGATATGAACAAGTCCAAAACACCAGCTCAGATTTAGATTTAGTTGCCTTGAAACCTTTTACAACGGATTGTTAAATTTACTATGGGATACATGTGAAAGAATGTTAATTTTATTTTTCTGGAAGAGGCCTTTTATGATTTTAGACTTATGGCATTCAGCAACACGTTCTTCATTTGGAGACTAACTTTGAATTTTAGGCACTGTGTGCTCTTTAACTCTTTGAAATCCAGACCCTTCGCTAAGCTGTATCCTCAAAATACCCGAACCGCCCGAAATACTTTTCCAGTTTCACAGCAATTTCCTCTCCTCCCCGTCCATTAACGCAGAAAATAGATGTGAAGATTTCCAATGACATCCTTTGTACTTTCTAACAAAGATTCCATTAGCCTTTGACCCCGTTCTTTATAAAACTATTCTGAAGATCAGATCAACAAGCCTTTCCGGCTTTGTTATGATCACGACTGAGATTTTGTTTATTTCCGTTATTTTTATAGGAAGGAATAAATTGTTTAAAAATAAATATAATCTTTAAATTTTTAAACTGCTCTTTTATTGCTGTTTAAAGCTTAAAAGCACACTGTACCACAAAAGAATCAACAACGAAATGTCACGATTAACCAAAAGATAAAAAAAAACTCTTAGGACAAGCTGTCTGCAGTAAACTGATACAATGCATTTGGGGAAAGTGCACCTGCTACTACATACCTTAGGGGGAGGGAAGAAAAGAAGATTACAATCTTGGCCGTTTTCAGGCGGTTCTGGTCGTTTCAATGTAGGGCCGTGTTGGGCGGATTGGATGTGAAGGAGTTAAAGGTTCACAATACACAGCAACATAGTTTATGTGATTAGATATTATGGAACAGAGCAACAACTCATCAATAATACAATTCAGAACAATGCAGTTATGGTCTTAGATATTATGGAATATATCATGACAGTTTCTAAGATCTGTGTATTGAGAATCTATGTAAAACTACCCATCAAAACTACCTCTTACAATACTATGAATTGTGATTTATCATTTGAAATACTAACTCATAACAGAAACAAATTTATTGAATTATTCATTCTCTGACTCAATGAAACTAATTAAATATGTTAATGAATAAATTAAGAGGCCATGATTTATAGGTTCTGTATTTTTCAAAATTAGTATAGTTTTATAGAATAGTTTTTTTTTTTAAAATAATTTTTGCTTATGTATAGCTTTATTCTTACAAAAGAGCCTTTCCATAACTTACTTTTCTTGGAGAAAAATCTTTTGTTTTATTCACAGTTAAAACAAATGTACTTTAATATTGTTCATTCACAATTAAATACTAATGAAGGCAAACAGTGGAAAATACTAAGATGCTAATACTGAAAGATATTGAAATGAATCAATAAACTTTAAATAAAAGAACCAACAGAATACTGATACAGAAAATACCAAAGAATAGTTAATTTTCATATGATTTAAATATTGCTACAAAACGCAACAAAATTATTTTACATGATTTCAAATATTTTACAATAAAAAGCTAAGAATAATACTTAAAAAAAAATTTTTGCTTAAGTTATATACATTTTTGCAAACCTCTACAAAATACAGATTCCTGAGAATCTGGGGTCATATTATAGCCTGAGCACCTAAAATAAGGTCATAATCTTTAAATGTTTGGGAACCACTGCTACAGAAATTGAATGAGGTCTTCATCAATTTCTACAGAAAATTTATTTTACAAGCAGAAAGCACATTTTACTGTGACATAATTACAGCTTCACATGTGATCACATCAAGTGGACCTGTCAAGATTTTTACGAAACAAGTTTCACTCATAATGGAAGTTGATAAATTTACTTGCTATTTTAGGTTTTATACATTAATATTATGAAGGCTGATATATTTAAAATCATTTACTTAAAGAAAAAAAAAAAAAATGCTTGTCCTAAATAACAGCATGATATTAAAAAGGTACTAAGGTACTGTAATAGCATTTGTTAGGTAACATATCTGTAACACTAAATATTTTCATCACAGACTTATGAAAAAATGTGTTTTATTGGAGCAATATATAATTTCATTTGTTCATCATAAGTAATTAAATATGAGAAATGTGTATCTAATTTAAAATAATTACATTTATATATATATATATATATACTGCATTTATAAGATTATTTGAAATTTATTAATTATAAATTTCAATCTTTGGTCTTTGCAAAAAATTAGTTCTGAATTTCTTACTATATATATACATATAAAAGAGAAGGGAGATTAAGAAAAGAAAAGGTGGGAAGCTATTAATAGTTAGAATTAAAAAGCATTTGATGTTTCAAGATTCAATGTTTACATATTTACATTTAAATTTTACTTACTTTCTGTAGTAAGTTCCTTTACTATTATGCTTTCAGTCTACTAGACAAGTGTCATTTCATAATTTTTATGTGATATAACTTCCATCTTTTTATTTTATAAAAATGCCAGAAAAAATTTAAACAATTAAAATCTATAATTCATGTAAATTTCGCACAAGTACTTTGAATTAGACACAGAGGATACTTATTTTTTCATAATTTTATCTGTTACTTAAACTTTGATTATAGTACATGGAAAAGAAATTAAAAGTCTTAAAAAATCCTCAAGAAACATTCTTTTTGCTAATTATATTTGCATTAATCACAAATAATTTAATAAAAAGTAGAAACCAAGAAAAATATATTTACATTCAATGATTGCAAGTAAATTAACATATTACGTGTTTACCTATCGCAAGTAAAATTTCTTGCAACTCGTACAGTTTTATCAGATCTGAAAATAAAAAAAACAGCCATTGATTAAAATACTAGAAACAATTTTGAAAACAAAGTTTACTAAATTTAGTTTTTCAATATTTAATCCTAGTAAGTACAGATCTGCATTAGTTTTAAAATAAAATAAGAACCATAGTCTTCATAGAATTAGAGTACCAATATGGTTATTTAGCAAAAGGTCTCTGCAGACAATCAGTGCAGAGAAGAAAAATGACAATCATTTTTAAAAGCACCTAACATACTGTTTTAATTATCACATCACATGAATTTTAAGAGTTAATTTGAAATATAGGCATCAGTCCCCCCCCCTCTTGCTTCAAATTTGAATTCAGGTGTTCATTAAGTCAGATTTTATTCCTACATGATTTTATTATTATTCATATTATCTACACTACTAAAATGTTACAGATTCTTTTTATTTTTACAATGTGATTTCTAACAGATGCTATATTTTTGTACTTTCGAACAGCTTAATGCTCATCTTATCTTAGCTTACAAGCTTTGGGTCTTTCCACAAATAATTTTTTCACTACATTTGTTCAAACAAATTTTCACTTTATCAGTTAAATTTTTAAACTCAATAAATATCAATAAATTGAAATACACACATTCTAAGAAAAACATATAAAAATTACAGCAAAAACAATTTTGTTATTATGCAAGTCATTTAAGAGAACATTAGGTTATTATGTTTCCTTTATAAGTTAAAAAGAAAAACACTGCAGTTAATGCTATAAAAATGCACAAGAAATTTACCGGGACAATATTTTGAATATGCAAAAGGGTCAGCAATGTTTCCAATGATTTCAAAAAAGAGAAATTTACTAGATGCCCTGTCACTGTTGATATCAGTATGAAGTTACCCAATTTGTTAAAAATTCTTTGTGAGAAATGCTACAGCAACTCTGAAAATTTAGCAAAGATATGATTAACTACTAAATATCCTGCAAATGCCGATCGAGAGTCGAATGATTTTAAGTTACTGTTTACAAAAAATTGAACAATGCCTAAGCTCAGCAGCTAAATGCTTCATGACGAATACAGTCAAAGGCAAGAACATCTATATTTCTCTTTCTTTCTAAAATACTCAATATCATTTGAGTATTTTGTGCATTTGTACAAAGTTACTGTTAGAAAATGATCTGAATTGTGGTGATACAACTCATAGATTTTCCATTACAGTAATGTACCTGATCACAGTGCTCTTGTTCATGAATTTTTAGCAAAAATTCCAAACAGCTGCTTCTGTATTTGCCTGTCTCAAAAATCACACAATACCTGATATTGCACTATGTGACATTTTTCTTATTTCCATGGTTTAAATTGCTTCTTTGAGTGTATTGATGCAGTAAAAGAAAATTCATTGCAAGTCATAAAAAATGTTCACAAAAAGAACTGTAAGATATATTTTGATAGTTGGAATATATGTTTGCATTAATGAATTGCAGTAAAAGATTATTTTAAAGGGTATGTAATAAGTATTGAACAAGAGATTAAAATCTAACATTTTATGAAATCATTCTTAGCCTGTAGATCTTATGGATATTTAGATAGTCAACATGCAAAAGAAACTTACATAGATGAAGACAGGTCTGGTTATTCAATTTCTGTTTGTAACAAGGAGCTCATTGCCAGAGTGATAGAAGAGATAAAAAGATTACTTCAAGATGATATCAGTAATTAGCAAAATATTAGTAAAAGATAGCAGTAAGAGATAAGGCTGGGAAGTTTACTTCCTAATTTGCTCTGCATATCTCAAGAGCAAAAGACGTCATTAAGACTGCTTGTAAAAATAATTTGTTTAAAAACAGAATATCAATTGTAACAAAGGGTAAAAAATGCTATTTCTGTTATGACCTACTAATTAAATATTATAGTGTTAAAGCCACCAGAATCAGTGAAGGGCAATAATGTCTAGTTTTCAAAAGAATGCTAATGACATTTATCATGAATTCATCCGTGAAAGACATATTCATCTGAGTATTCTGATATGCTTTCTAACGCATCACTATGTTCAAGCCAAATACTTGGAAAAAGATAGCTGGCTTCTTTTGCGTGGCAATACATCTGGTTACTAGGTAGTAAATAGTGAGCTAACTTATGTTGGAAAACAAGTGTTTGTGCTACACTTTCTACCTTATTCTCTTCATCTACCTACAATTACTTAGGAAAGTTACCACTGAAATCTCATTTCTTTGAGACTGAGCGGTCATGATTTAGCTCCACGAATTCAGAGGTGTGGTTAAAGGGTGCTGACTATACATGGTCGGTACTTTATTCCAAGGATTAAGCCAAGTTCACACACAGCATTTATTACGATGATAAACACAATACACAACACTATACATATACATATTCAAGAGTAGGGCTACAGGATTTTAGCCCTTTCGACACTTCAAGATACACATTGAGTTGCAAGAAGTAACTAGTACTTTGTTGGCATGACGATAGGGCCATCTACTCATCTACTAAAAGCAGAACAGAGACATAAAAAAAATAAAGAAATAGAGTAATTTCAATTATTAAGGGACTGTCTCATTAATTGAGGTGATTCCAAATGGATATATTTTAATTAAAATGCAAGTAATATTCAATTATTTTCTTCCTATTTTATAAATACTACAATGTTAGTTTCATTACGTAACTATAGGACTGCAGATTTCTGTAGACTTTACAAATTGACCCATAACAAATGCAAAAAAATTTCACACTACATATACCATTGGCTTCAAAATATTTGGTAGTTATATCTTACAAACATTTTCTTTTTATTATGAAGCAAAACTGCTATTAAATGTAATAAGATGTTAGATCCTCTGGTATGCATTTTTGAATTCGATGTAATGTGCATGCTCATAGTATAACACTATAAACATTGGATATTCGCTTGGGACGAAAATGCTCAACCTAAAAAACAGGCAAAATAGGGCTTCCTTAAGGGGGAAAAAAAAAAAAAAAAAAAAAATGCCAGTATAAGATTTTATTTCTGAATCAATTGGACACATCTTTGCAACAGCAATATTCAGAAGTCATTTCTTTAAAGAGATTGACATAGTTGACCTTTTTTCCATTTTTGAATCGAAAACTTATAAAATTAGAACTAGTAGTGAAATCATTAAATTTGTAATGAAATCAATAAAACCAACAGAGTTTACATACTAAGAACAGAGTTTACATACTAAGTTTGTGCTATATACCTCTTAATAATTATATTAAAAGGAAACAAATACTGAGTCATGGTACTGGGCAAAAATTGAAAGAATGCTCATCAAGTCATTACTGTATTATTATTATTATTATTTACTTTCAAAAGAGAAAATAAAAATCTATTAATTCTGCTTTTTTTAAGGGAAGGCTAATTATGTAATTAATTCAATTTTGTTTATGTAATTAATTATGTAATTAATTCAAGTTTGTACATTATAAATAGCTAATAAACAATGCAAAAATTATGATAAAATTTCTAAATATACAAATTAAAACCACTAAATAACTAAAAATAAATACCATATTATAAACAAATTATAAATTTTCTGTTGAGGTGCTATCAAAAGCAAACACCAGTTAAAAAGCAGTTTTAAAGCTAAATCATAACTGAAAAATAGTTCTTTCCCAATGAAGCAGTTTACTTACTTGACATCCTTTGCACAGATCCCAGTTATACCTTTAAAAGGGTAATCTTCTGCAAGAACAATTTCAGTCTCACTCTGCAAAATGCATTAAAAAACTTACAACTCTTAGAGTTGATATCTTATTGATTCATTTTGTATAACACTTAAGTTACATTAACAATTTCACAACAGTTTTAATTTGTAGTCAAACATTTCACAATAGATAATACTTTAACATAAAGATGCAAAATGATATTTAATATGTAAAGGAAACTTAGATAGATGAAGACAGGGCTGGTATTCAGTTTCCGTTTGCAACAAGAAACTCATTGCCAGAGTGGCAGAAGAGACAAAAGATCATTTCAAGGTGATATTGGTATTATACAGACATAATTAGCAGAATATTAGTAAAAGATAAGGCCCAAGGAGGTTGCTTCCTAATTTCTTCTGTGTATTTTTGAAGAGCAAAAGACACCATTAAAATTGCTTGTAAATACAGTCAAAAGTCGTTAATTCGGACCTCAAAGCTACAAACTTTCTGCGCATGCGTCGCAGAAAACCATTTCTTTCAATGTAAGTTGTTTAAGTTGCTTCGTTTTATGTGATAATACTTCCTCTTTAATTCTATAAAAAGTCATAATTTCTTGTTCAGTTACAAAGTTCCGCTGTTTAAGTCCTATAATTGCTGAGTCGAGAATACCAAGTAATTTGTCATTCGAAATTTTTTCATTTTCAATAACCTCTGTGTCACTTTCTTCACTGTCGGAAGCAAATTATAATGATGTGGAATTTGTTTAAATCATATCAAAACGGAGTACATCGAGATGAAATACTACATTTAGTGAGGAATTATAAGCCAAATAAATTAAAAAAATAAAAACATCTGCCCTGAAGATAAGGATAGTGCTGACATATCAACATCCAATTTATTGTGCGCCGCGGCGTACATGTATTTGAGTACATAAGGATCGACACATTTTTTTAATATTTATTCATCATTTCTTAATAGCATCTACCACCTGTAAAAAATCTAAATATTGGCCATGTTCTTACACATTAAATTTCTTGTTCATTAAAAAAAAAAAAAAAAAAAAAAAAAAAAAAAAAAATTATTTTTGAATGGAACTGCACCTATGAGATATAGCAAAACAAACATTACAAATTTATAAAGTTGGCAATCACTGGCAACTTTTCATGGAATAATAAAAAAGTGCCTATTTTTTAATGAAATAACATAATAACTAACTACCGTATTTGACGGCATATAAGACGCACCCTTATTTAGACGGCCACACACAAGGAAAAAAAGTTTCAATAGTGTAGTTTCTTTTAGTTCTCACGTTTCGTAAAAGCCAAATAAACAATTATTGAATGCAATTACCTTCACGTATAAGACACAGGTAACCTTTTTGAGACCAAATTTAGGGAAAAAAGTGCGTCTTATGTGCCGTCAAATACGGTATATTACAATCCATATTTTTAGAATATACATTTTCAATAAGTTATATTTACCTCATACAGCCATCCAATAGTCAAACAAGTATCTCCACCTTCGCATCCTTTATTTGGTGCTGCTGCACAATCAACAACCTGCTGTACACTCCACCTTTCAAGACTGCCATATTTCAGAGCATACATACTCTCCACTGTTTCAACAGTGCTGAAAGCCCTGGAAAACAACACATTTTTATAAAATTTTCAGTTCTTCCCTAAAAAAAATGAGCAATATTTTTGTGAGTTTAGGAAAATGCACTATTAAAAAAATTCAGTTTTTAGAAGAAAGTAAATTTACACATAAGAAAATGAGCTGAATTTTCACATCAGTTCATACAAATTTGTTTTTAACACTGAAATGATTTTTTTTATACAATAGTCAGTTTAAAAGTTCTAAGATTTAATTTTAGGCATAAAATAAATTAAATATGTTCCTTAATTACAACAGGATGCTAAGACAGTTAAAAAATATTAAAGTATAATATTTTCCAAAAGGAAGATTGAAGTAAATTTGAATATTTAAAAAAAAATTAAAAGCTCTGTATTTTGTTTTGATTTATTACAATAAACTGCAGTAAGCATTAAACAGTACATTCATTTCAAAAGTAATCATTATACACAGCAAACACTCAGAGCCATGAGTAAGGTTTTCAGCCCCTGAGGACAACTGAAGATTTTGCAACATTTCCTGTGTGCCAAGAATGGAAAACATTTCAATCTAAAATTTTGTAACATCAGTTTGGTACCTTCTGGTTGCTGCACCTGGTGACAAATGTTCCCCTTTCCCACACATTAGCTATGTCATGGCAAACATTTGTTTTTAATGAATTCATAATAACATATTTATAATAAATGCTTCAAGTTCAGACTTTTGTAAACTTAATCAACATTAAAAAGAAATTAAAAAAAAAAAAAAAAAGTGGATGAAAGAAAAGTATTCATTTGAAATGATTGATAGTTTCACAGATCATGGCATATAACAAAAGACACTTGACAGGAGAAATACAAAGAAAATAATCAGTGACCAATGCATAAAAACAGTGATATAGGCTTCTAGTTGGAATTTTTTTTTTTTACTTTCTGAGATCATTTGCACCACCCTATCAAAAAGTTGTGAAAAAGTACGACGACACAAAACAGTATATTAGCAAAATAGTTATGTGGTAACCCATGATAGGTTTATTTTTGGTCAGTGCACAATGCTGAGTTTGTGCAATTCTCCGATTTGTTTTTTAAGGAAAAATAAATTATGGGTACATGGGGAGAATAACAATGCAAAAAGACTGCTCTTATTACCTTTGTTTCTTGCTTTTTCAGTTTTACTGCCTGAGCAATGAGTGCTGAACATGGAATTTTTAGTGCAGCTGTTGGCTGTTAGTTTTGTGTATTAGCTTGGCAAAAATTCATGAATGCTTTCCAAAGTCACCAAGAAGTTTGTGGTCTTTCAGTACAGGGAGGTGAGGATAATCAGAAAGTATCACCAATTTTCTTGTTAAAGGTCAGTCTATGTAGGGATATGAAGGACTTTGCTGAAAGTATATGATTAATAACATTGATTCATCCACAAATAAGTTCATCTATTGAAGCTTACTAATTTTGTCCATTAATGGAGCAGACATATTCTTATGATGGCTTAGGAGAAAGTCATGGATAGAATTAAATGTCTTCCAAGCATGTTCCCTATGTTTTGAATGGGATTCAAGGTAAATGATCTCAATGGCTATAGCATATGAAGCAGCAATTTTGATCCTAACATTGGCACAAAATGTGACTTCAATGTATTATTGCACATAAAAATTGCATCAGAATCCAAAGCCACAAGAAAAAGGATAAACATTTTGAGTAAGGATGGGATCCTTATACTACACAGCAACAGAATTATTATTAGAAAAGCTACGGATATCAGAACAACCACTGAAAACAATCTGTCAAAATCCTCAAACCTCTATTTCATGCACTTCATTGATATTACTGGAGAAATAGCAATTTCCAAATTGATATTTAAATCAAATTGGGACTTATCCATAAATAGCGGCGTCACAAAATACACTAATGCTTTTACATACTGCTTAATGTTTGGGTACCAGTATATTTTTTAAATGTTGGATCACAAATTACCTAGTAAACAATTCAAGTAATTAGTAATAGCAATATATATGTTACAGTTTAAATATGTGAATATTCTATGATTACAATCAAAACCTTAACCATATTATATTACTTCATATTTCAGCACATGTTGTTTTCTTTTTAATATTTACTTTCATTACAGTGATGAAAATATATTGCTTAATAAGTCTCTTTGTAATAGCTGATTTGAAATTCGGGATTTTCATTAATTTGTTAGGCATTGTTCTGTTATCAGGACTGGATTCAGAAATGTATGTATGAATGTGTTCATGCATGCATGCATGCACATATGTTCATACAAATTTATGTCTGTATATATATATATATACACATATATGCATACATTTCTGAATCCAGTACACCTGATAACAAAACAGTACCATTTGTTACCTTGTACTTCTTTTTTTAAAATTTACATACTGTAGGTTGATGCAAAGTAGAAAAAAAATATTACATCTTGAGACTTGAAGATTAAGGCAACACGTAAAGAATGGCAGAAAACTTACTTTGACTTACCAGCAAGCACCACATTGCTCTTGATCATTTACTGAACTTATAACATTTTTATGTCTCCTAAAATATTAAAAAAAAAAAAAAAAAAAAAAAAAAAAAATAACTTAGGCAAAAAACTTTTAAATTGAAAACATGACATTCAAATAATCAGGAAAATATGCACCTAAATTATAAATAAAATTCATATAGACAACAATTTAGAACATTTTAAACAGAAAAGGTTTCCTTTAGAAAACAAATGGAATATTTACCAGTCAACTTTTTTGGGCAATTTTTCCAGAATACTTTTGCTTTGAAACAAATTCTTTTTCCGAGGATACGATTTTTTAAGTGTAACATTGACTTTCGCAAGATGTACTGCAAAAGTAAAAAAGGAAAGAAGGATGTTGACTAAATTTATTATAAATTTAAAATCATAATTACATCTACAAAAAATATTATATCTCTAAAAATTTTCTCTGGAACTTTATAAGAAATTCACTTCTTTTTAATAAAAAAGGAGACCATTTCTTATCTCCATGTAATTTAATATTTGAATTCTAAGAAATTAATAAATGACACAAAGTTTTACCTGTAAATTATGCATTGTAAATACATGATTAACAAAAAGAAGAGTTTTAGAAAGATAAGAGAGAGGGAAAAATAAAAATCAAGAGTAAGTTAAGAGTGTTGTTGACAAGATAAGACAAGGATATCAAAAGTCAAGAAGTGGAGATATTATATGTGCAGTAAAGTGGAAGATAATTGTGGCTATAATTTTATATGCTTTATAAGTCATAGAATAATAACAATAATAATTATAATAACATTTATGGTAAAAAAGAAAAAGTAATTAAACTTTTAAAATTTTTCAGAAAAATGTAATTTAATGACATATAAAAAAGGCAGTTTTTATCGGACATGCAGCTAATTGGTAACTCAGTATTATACTAGAGGAACTAATATACTTTAAATTTTGCTCAAGTTTTATTTTCTAATAATATGGCTAATAAGTAGTTTTGGTGCCTTTAACATCAAACTAACACTTTAATCCCTTCCCCTGAAAAAAGGGGACTGAATATTTAAAAAGTAAACCTTGAGAAAATACACAAGAAATAATGTAAACTTTTCATAATATTTGGTATTAAGCAAAATAAAACATTAATTTCCAAAGATAAAACATACAACACTTGATTGGAGTATACAAATTACTTTAAAGTAAATAAAAAGAAAATTCATTTCAAGCATATGTATACATAATATTTATTTATTTTCCTACAAATTTAGCTATTATAGAATTACACAATTTTCTAAACTTTTATCAGCAAACTATGCTATATATACTGGTAAAAAAAATCTCTTACATATCATGAAAATAATGCAAGCTTATTGAATATCTCACAAATTAATTTTAATGTGACATCCTGTCCCACAATATTTGCATGAGTATATTGTTTAAAATATTTTATTATTTATTATATTGTTTAAAATATTACAGAACAGATGGTCACTTCAGACATCAATACTACATAAAATTTCTTTTCTACTTACTAATTTCATATAAAAAAAAAACAAGTTTTTGTAATCTGTATACAAAACATTACTTTGAATAAGATTTCATCAAATACCGAAGGTAAAATAATAAAAATAAAATAATAATTTGAAAATTACCTGCATAATATCATTTAAATACAAGAAATATCATAGGATTAAAATTCAGTGTTTGTTTAAAATATTCCAATTGAGCGCAGCTGATATTATGGTATGCTTCAAGTCTAGAAAACAGTGTTAAGATATTTATATGTTAAATTTTTCAAATCCAGAGATTTGACGTTTATTTCATCAAGTCAAGAACCGTGCAATGGATTTGAATAAGAAAATTTGTTAATGCAGAATTCTTTGACTAAGGTGTATGTATCATTAAATTAAAAAATAAATAAATAAACTCACCATAATTTTTAAATTCCTCTGGAGTTAAATCTGAGAACTGGTTTATCCCATACAAAGCAGCATGGGTAGAATTCCGATGTCTGTTTAGCCATTCAACTCTACGCAAAGTTTGCTGAAAAAAAAAAGTTAAGATAATAATATCATGCAATTAAAAAAATATATAACTCTTAGAACACAATAAAATATTCAAATTTAAACGTTTAACTAAACATTACCGTCTACAGAACTTGTTTAAATTAATTCGAGGGTCTCTGAAGGTGTGCAATTCAAAACTTACTTTTAATATTTTATTCAAGCGTAAATTGTCTCAGTTAACATACATATAAGTTTTTTAAATCAGTCATAACTGACTAAAAAATTACATTAATGATCAAATATATTATCTTTCAAAACATGAACGTGGCTGCCGAATTTCGATCAGATATAAATGTTCACTAACTTCGAAAATTGATTCCCTTCTCTTGAACTCCATTGTTCCAAATTTGTAGCTTTTGTTATATCGATGTACATAGTCATCAAATCTCTGAAATACATCTCTACGAAATTCGTCATGAGACAAGGCAAATAATATGATACACGAGCTGAATATTATGTGAAGAACAGCTAAAGCAGACATTTCTTTCTCCTATCAGCTCCTTAAGATCAAAAATTTGTGCAACAAGACATTTGAATCATGTGCTTTGTTTGAAAGTATACATGGTGGCGCCATCTATTGAAATAATATAAAACTACAGTGGAAGCTAAGGGATTGTCTCTTATACATATAATTTATGGCGTTCCATTCATGAGTTTAATGTACAGTGCAATTTTTGCGTCAGTGGTTGCTTTTTTACATGTGCATGACGCGCCAACTCATGTTTCGTTTCTATGATTTGGTAACCTCATTATTGTTCTACGAAAACAACAGTCCTGAGAGATTCATGTTCTGAAAAAATGTGTTTCATTGGAAGAAGGAGTCATTTAATTAACTACAAATTTACACGCAGCAAGACACTGTGGTGACACCGGATGTGTTTGTGATCTGAGTTTGAAAGGTCAGTTACGTTTCTTTAATGTGTGCTTGAAGTTTGGAAAAGTTATTTCATTTCAAATTGCTTGAGAGTTGCATGATGAATATTTTAATTAAAATAAAAAGAGCGTCAGTAAGGGTGAAATTCACGAAACTATATCAGAGCATAAAAACATTATTTGAAGGTTCCGGTATAACTATTGAAAATAATGAAGTAAAGTTTGCGTCTTCGGAAAGGGGCATTTTGTAATTTAATGGACCTTGAGAAAAGAATGTTATAGTTGTTGCTTAACGACGAATCGGAAATAAAATACACAGATGAGTATGAAGTCATAGAGAATTATACAAAAGGACTTAATAAAATTAAAATCCGTGTCAAGCTTCTGAATCTGAACTTTAATTTAGAACAACAAAATGACGCTCCTTTAGTGATAATTAAACCGAAATTGAAGCTTCCGAAAATTGAACTTGTAAAGTTTGGCTGAGAATTAAACAAGCTGCTCATTTTTAAGTCCATTAACAGAATTCATGACAATAAATCAGTGAGAAGAGGTCGATAAAATATATTATTTAATAGAGCGTGTATCTCCTGGTAGCAGAGTTAAGGAAATTATTGATAGTTGCCCTCCTACAACAATTGAAAGCTTAAAAACAAGATTCGATCGTGACGAACTGGTTGTGAAATTTTATGAGAGCGAAATTTTTAGGTGTAAAATTAGAGATAGCATAGTGTTGCGTGCGTACGGGTTCGTAATAGATTAAATGCACATGATTCCTCAGAGATATTCGTACAAGTGTTCACAATATCACTCAAACTACTAAAAACGTTAAACACAATGCAATGCATAGCGCATCTAAAGAGAAAGCTACTAAGATATCTCAGTTCGCCCGGAACTAAACGACTCCCAATTAATTAAGCAAGTGACTTTTGATATCTCTCAGTAACTAATATCGACTACATAGAGTCTTGCTTAGAAGATCAGACTTTGCACTAGGCCAATAGCGGTTGTGATCGAAGAAATGACACCCCTTGGTATCAACACCCTCAGGCGATACTAAAAAATAAGCATCAAATTATACAAAATGCAAACAGCCTTCTATTTTGAGGGTCTGAATGTTTCGAAATCTCAGTCTGGGAAGTGTCTTCCAAACTGGAGTGTCTGCTAAAGGAGATTCAGTTGCAGGTCTATGATAGTGCGAGCAGAATAAACGTAATGTAGTTTGATATCTAGCACGGAAAGTGATGGAGCTTGATATCGGCAGTGTGCAGTGTAAAGCAGTTATTATTTACTAATTAATTTTTTTTCTAAAACCCCACTTATTGTAAGAAAAAAAGCACATTTATATTTAGGTTGTTATAATTTGATTCCACTATAATTTATATTAAGCCACTGAAAGTAGGAAAACTTATTATTAGTCCAAAGGCGCGTTAGCCACGAAGTGTTATTCGTCTCGAAACGGCATTTTGCGTCGAATCAATATAAACGGCTGTATCACTTTTCAGATTGTTGCCACTAAATGTCATCGCTCTGTATTATATTTAAAGAAAATAAATAATGAAGAATCTGCATGAATGTATATATGTTTCTCGCACTGTGAAAAAAAAAAAAAAAAAAAAAAGATACCTAGAACCATCGAATTTTGAATAACGCAGTCCTCCACCCGAATATGGGCGCCTAGAAGCCCGAAGCTTGAATTTCAAATTTGTTTTATTAACTATGTGATATTTTTTAAACTTTAACGAATTTTTGATTAAGAAACTCCTCGATTTCAAAGCGAGCAAGGGCAACACACTGTACGGAATAAAATTTTTCTCCAGCGCGCGAGACAGTCTATCGGAAATTCTAAAAATATGCTGTTTTTAAGTATTTTTAGCCCAAGGGGTATTAGCCCAAATGCTTTCAAAACGTGTATGTATGGGTGAATGAAAAAAAAAAAAAAAATGCGTCCCTTCGGATGTAATATGAAATCTGAAAGCTTTCAGGTTTTTTATCATTAAATTTTATAGCATTTAAATATTGTTATTATTATTATTATTTTTGGTCGCTATCATTTAATTTGAGTGTTAAACTATTGTTGAAGAATTTATCCACCGTTTATTCGCATTTTAAGTTTTTGTGTCACACCCTATGATGTGCTGTATATAATTTTAATTTTCTTAGAAAGGAAAATTTTGAATTTGTCATCTTTGCTTAGTAATGCTAAGTTATATCCTTCTGTCTTTGGTTTAAAATGTTGAGTTTTAGGCTTTTATTTTTAACTTAATCTTTTTAGCTTTCTTTTTATCTTATGTTTTCATAGCGCTGAATTACAGAGTTCTATCTATGGTTTAAATGTTGAATTACAAGCTTCAGTATTACTTCTGTATAATCAAAATATGTCATATAATTCCATTGAGAGTTTTTATTTAGTTTTAAACTACGTACAGATTATTTCATTTTAGGAATGACAACTTCAGTGAAAGTTTCGATTTAAGGAACTTTTGCATTTTAATATTTTGACGGCAGCAGGAAGGAATAGCTCATGCGTCAGGGAATAAAATGAAGCGTTAGAAGAGTAGCTAACGCGCGACAACGTCTATGTCTTTACACTTTTAAATTATATTCTGCAGAGAGAAGATATGTTTCAAGATACGAATTTTTTTTTTTTTTTGCTCTGAAACTCATTACGCCATCTTTTCAAAATTACTCCACACCTTTTACGTAACTTTTATTCCGGAGATTTTATTTACCAGTCGTTCAACTCTGAAAGAAAAGATCGACCGTCTCGAGATCAAAATGTTACAAGGGTTTTTCTTATCGCAAGATTTTTTTTTACTCCAGTTGAACATTTACATCATCACCTCTTCAACAGAGATCTAATGTCAACATTTCTTATCATTATCAATTCAGATTCACGGAGCAATTCTTTCCATTCGACCAGAATGATATTTACAACAATATTAACGTCATTTTTCTTTTTTTTTTTTTTTTTTTTTTTTTTTTTTTTTTTTTCCGGTAAGTAGAACAAAATGAAGTTAGATATTGCAAACTTAAAATAATTTTAAAAGTTTTATTTTTATCAGCACTTTTCTATCGACTTCAAGACTAAGTTTACGTTTTGTAACGGGCAATAATTAATAATCTACAAAAAGCCGTTCACTGGTATTTACCCAAAAAGTGTTGCATGCGTACGGGTTCATAATAGACTGAATGCACACAGGTCCGATGATAAATTAGTATTATTTTATTAAAAAAAAACTTCAAAGTTCCAGAATTTTCCGCAGAAATACTCGTACAGGTGTTTACAGTACCACAGAGTACAATCAGTAGTTACGCTTCAAACTACTAAGAACGTTAAACACAACGCAATGAAAAGCGCATGTAAAGCGAAAGCTAATCGGGAAATATCTCCGATCTCACGCTTAACTAACAACTTGCAACAAAAACAACAACAACTGAGAGCAGATGTTGTCTCCGGCCTTATATAGTTTCAAATGGCCGTCAAGATATAGATATCAGACGCATGCCAATGATTGCATTAAATTCATTTAAATTTCCTTTTGGCGCTTTTGCTTTAAAATCTATTAATGTTAGCAGTTTCACGATTTTATATTTTTACTCTTATATCGTTAATGACGTTGACGTAGTTAAAACATTTATTTACTTTTTATATATTTAGCTAAAAGCCTATAGCAATTTTTTATGTTTATTGTATAACAGTGTATTGATGGTTGCAGAATATGAGCCAGGTTGTCGGTTATGCTCAGAAGATATAATTATTTAGTAGCAAAATTTCATTTGAAATGTTCAAATGATAGTCTTAGCATTTAATTTCATTTAAAGTTATGTTAATATTCTACTTGAAAGTAATGGCCGTCGAAATCTGGGAAGCGGAAGTTTATCTCTTTCAGACATACACGTGTTTTCTCATGACGATGATCTAGATAAACATGGCATTGAAAATTATGTCTAATGGCAAATTAATAATAAACATGGAATTTGAGTTTGATTTCATGTTTTTACGTTCATAAAGTATTTGCTTTAAAAAAATTGTCGAAAAAAAGAGGTACTAGTGTTTTCTAAACTAAATTGTATGTTTAAATCAGAAATCTGAAATTAATTAGAAGTCAGATTGTAAAGCTTTAGGAATTCAAAGCGTTATAGAATTCGCGTGAAATTTTATTTGAAACTGTAAATATTAATTTAACAGTCTGTGATAATTTTAATTTAGTTAACTCATTATCTTATGATTTGAACATTATTATCATTCCTGCCTTTCATTACTTCGATAAATAATATATGTGTATATAAAGAAAAGAGTTGTTGAAAATTAGACAGAGGGTTCTGGCAGCGACGCGGACCGTTGTACCAAAGAAATCTGCATTATTTCCTTCCCCCCCCCTAAAAAATGCTCTGAGAATCACATTACCGCTTTAGCTTTTCGTCAGCCCAGTTACCTGCGCATCTAGTTAGAACTGAACCAACGCTTATCTATATTATTAAGCTTACTGAATCAATGCTTATTCTCTTTTTATTTGCAAGCATAAGCCATGCATTGTTACATCAAAGTTTATATACGAAGGTTTGTCTAAGCCCTCTTCTGACTCTATTGTTACTTGCATGGACTAGGCGACAAATCGCCTGATAGAA